AGAGCTTGGCCTGACAACTTAGGAACATAGGTCTGTATTTTTGTAGATTTTAACGTGTTTCAGAGAGGCACAAGTAAATCACTCTAAGTAGAAACATCTCTAAACTGACCTCTGCTTTCTGTAGCATCCAGCTTCCCTCCATATCTGAAGACCCTTAGAAGGGTGTGTGTGTGTGTGTGTGTGTGTGTGTGTGTGTGTGTGTGTGTGTGATCTGAAGACCCTCAGAAGTGTGTATGTGATCCAAAGACCCTCAGAAGTGTGTGTGTGTGTGTGTGTGTGTGTGTGATCTGAAGACCCTCAGAAGTGTGTATGTGATCCAAAGACCCTCAGAAGTGTGTGTGTGTGTGTGTGTGTGTGTGTGTGTGTGTGTGTGTGTGAGAGAGAGAGAGAGAGAGAGAGATCTAAGGACCCTCAGAAGTGTGTGTGTGTGTGTGTGTGTGTGTGTGTGTGTGTGTGGTCTCAGCATGAATTAACTTGCAGCTTCCCCTTTGGCTGGACAGTGTCACATTTTACCCAAAGCACAGTGTCTTCCTCACCTGAGGCATCTGCGGATCATTTATGTCCCACGTGAGTTTCATCCCATAGGAAAGCACAGAGTCTGCATCCTGTGTGGTGCTGCTGGCATCTGCAAGGGCCTCCAGGACTCTCTAACCAGGATCCTGAAAGAGAAAAACAAGTACACGGGGTGACTCCTTCCCCAAAATGAGAAGTAGGCTGAGAGAGGTGAGTGAAATAAGGAGGAGGAAAAGAAGGAGGAGGAGGGAGGAGAAAGGTGGAGGAGGGGCAGAGACAGACATACACAGAGAGGGAGGGAGGGAGGGAGGGAGGGAGGGAGGGAGGGAGGGAGACAGAGAGAGAGAGAGAGAGAGAGAGAGAGAGAGAGAGAGAGAGAGAGAGAGAGAGAGAGAGAGAGAGAGAGAGCCAGTTGGCCCAGGTGAGTGCCCTGTCCTTGGCTGCGGTGCTGAAATGTCTCCTTCTGAAAGCTAGCATCTTTAAGCAGGTTTATACCGGACCCACTCCGCGGCTCTCCCTCTACTGGGTAACCTCTCCAGCACCTGAAGCCACAGCAGTCAGCAGCAGGCTTCTCTACCTAGGCAGAGCCAAGAATGCAGGGGAGAGTCAACGTGAACTGCTGAGCGAAGGAAAACTGAAGCTGAGAAGTTGGCGACCCAAGCAAATAGAGCAGTTTAATTTATGCTGAGAACCAAAACCGACTGCTTGTTATCTTCTCTGCTGGTTCTGGTCAGGGCTTGGATTGAGGCTCTGGAAGCAAAGGTTTCCATCAAAGTCTCTCCAGAGCTTTGCGCTGTGGGGAAAGTGAGAGAGACTGGAGAGCCAGCAGCGGGGCCCTGCAGCCGAGGGGCCAGCCTCCTTGGAGCTCTGGGTTCTTGGAGTAGTCGCTGTTCTCAAGTCTGTGTTCTGTGGTTTGGTCTGACAGTAAGTTTAGCATTCCAGTACGTTCTCAAGCCTAGGCACACTTCAGGCAGTCCTGACCACCGGGAAAAGTCCTGGGAAGTGAATCTGGAGGTTGGGGTCTGATGGCCCTGGATAGACAGACAGGGAGGGAGGAGAGTAAACGCTGCTGCTGGAGTTCCCAGCCCAAAGAATTTCCTCCCTCTCTGCACCTGCTCCTCTCCCCTCTCCTCATGCCTTTACGGCTCTCTCCCTCTCCTCTCTCCCTCAGCACCCATAGTTAAAGAGAGAGAGAGAGACCAGGGGTTTGTGAGTTCTCCGTTGCCACCCATAAGAACACCCTTGTTAAAACAGACTGTATTGCCACTGTCGCTGCCACTCCTAGGAGATCACCTTTATCCTCAGCGGCTTTGGAGGAGAACGTTGTCTAGGAGGCTGAAAACCCACCCCCATCCTCCTCCCCAACCTGAGGCGACTTTTCTCTTTCATCTGTCTCTTTTTGACAGCTCTGGCACCCGAGACATTCAATATAAGGATGCCACTAGAGTCTCTCTCTCTCTCTCTCTCTCTCTCTCTCTCTCTCTCTCTCTCTCTCTCTCTCTCTCTCTCTCTCACACACACACACACACACACACACTCTCCTCCTCCTCCTCTCATCTCTCCTCCCCTCCCCTTCCCTCTCCTCCCCTCTCCCCTCCCCTTCTTTCCTGGCATGCTCGCTGGCCACTGCAGAGCGCTATCCGTGAGCAAAGGTGGGCTTCCGAATCTCTTCCCCGTGCTGGCTTTGCAGCTGGCACTCTTCCACTGTCGGTCTTAGCCAAAACAAATGAATACATAAGTAAGTAAATAAATAGATACGCGAATAAATAAAAAAATAAACGAGCAAAACCCATGGTACAGGTCGCTGTTAGCGGAAGTGTTCCCGGTTCAGGTTCGTTCTGGGGTGCTCACTGGCATCTCAGACCCAACAGGGCAGCATGGGTCTCACTTGGCTTGGTCAGAGCCAGGCAAGCGCCTTCTGCAGGAGTAATGCCCGCTTCTGTGCAAATTTCGAAAGAGCTGGTGCGTTTTACCGCCAGGGTTTCTGTGTAATAACCTCAGGAAACAGGGATCTTGCAACGCTCCTGGGCCTCTACCTCCCAGTCAACTTGCTTGCTAGGGAGGGTCAACTCAATAGAAAGCCGGCGGGCCAGTTAGGACCCACAGGGATGAGAAGAGATGGGGATAGGGGTTGGGTGCCCGCTGAGAGCATTTCCTGAGCTTGCTTCCTCTAGCTCCAAGCTGGATTCTTATTTTAAATACCAAAAGTCCTAGCAGATGAAAGAGATTTGTTAACTTCAGAACGTTTCACCGAAGTTCCTTTCTAAAAATCGCCCTCACCTTACTGAAGTGTAGTTGGGGACAACGAAGTGTCTCCACTTTCCAGTGCGCCCTCATGTTATTGACTGTGAAGGCCCAGGCTGCTCCTGCCATTCAGTTGCTTTTTTGTTCGCTTGTCTTTCCAATTTTAGTTTAAGCTATTGACTGTTTTAAAACAAGTTTAAACCTCACTAAAAGTGACAGCTTAAGACAATTTATGTTTTTGAACATAAATTGTTGCCCTATAATGGTGTGGGGGTAAAATACATTAGTAAAAGAAGCTAATCAAAGTGAAAATATAAATAAACTACGGTGTATTGATGCTTGTCTTGTTGCTTTTAATAACTTCTCAAGATTGAGATGCATTGCCACTGTAGGGTTTGGAAGTATATAATTTCTCCCAAATTCTGAAAATGATGTTTCCTGTCTAATATTTCAAAATGAATTTTCATCTCTGAAGTACATTTAGGTTGGGTTTGGTTACCACTTTTTCGAGACTGGGCTTTCTTTCCTGCTGCAGTGTTTGCATTGACCTAAGATACTCTGCGTTGGTTCCTGTCCGTCACATTCTTGATCACTAGTTAATACGAAAGAACCTGTGAATTTCAGGAAGGAGCAAGTCTCTCAATTTGCAAAGGTTAGGTTAAAATAGGCAAATTAACTACATCGTCGACATCATATTTTCTAGGAGCTGATATGTTCAGTACTGGGTAGACAAATGGCCAGGCTTGCAAGTTTGGGCTTATTAACAGGGATTGTAGATACATGCACGAAATATGCTTTTTGTTCATGTAGGCAAATGTCTTCTGAAGCATCACAGCATAAAACTGTGTCTGGTTGTAATAAAAGTCAGGCTTTACACAAGGGATGTTTGGAATGTAGGAGGCATCTATTTATATTTATTTATTTGTGTGTGTCTTTGTGTGTGTGTGTGTGTGTGTGTGTGTGTGTGTGTGTGTGTGTGTGTGTGTGTGCTATTTGGAAGTCAGAGGACAAGTTACAGGAGTCACTCCTCTCCCTCTACTGTCTGGATCTTGGTGATCAAAGTCGGGTCCCCAGGCTTTGTGGCAGGCTGAGCCACCTCTCCAGCACTGTATCCTACGAAGAAAACTATAATACAACTTATTTTTGTCGTGGGGCTCACACATTTGGTCTCTCTTCAAAAAGCAGCCTGTCCCTAGAACACACACTTAGGTTAAAGGAAGTGGTTGAAAACCAAGCTATTAAAAATCTGTCTCTCAAGCCGGGCGTTGGTGGCGCACGCCTTTAATCCCAGCACTCGGGAGGCAGAGCCAGGCGGATCTCTGTGAGTTCGAGGCCAGCCTGGGCTACCAAGTGAGTCCCAGGAAAGGCGCAAAGCTACACAGAGAAACCCTGTCTCGAAAAACCAAAAAAAAAAAAAAAAAAAAAAAAAAAAAAAAATCTGTCTCTCAGGCGGGTCAAGTCTGTAATCACAGCACTTAGAAGACTGAGGTAAGAGGTCAGTCTGGACTGCATAGTGAGACTGAAAAAATAAATATGATCTTTCTTCCTTTGACTAAGGTACCATATAACACTTTATTTTGTTGTATCAGGGCTGTATTAGTCATGTTCGGTCCAAGTCTGGTTCAGAGGGACCACACCACTTTCTGAACGAGAATCCCTTCCCAGGGTGCTTTTGTTTGGTCAAGATGAAGCAGGGAGCCTGTCCTGGCGGCTCACACTTTAATCCCAGCCTTCTGAGCGGTCCAGGCTAGCTTGGGGTACAGAGTGAGTTCCGGGACAGTCTAGAGTGCAGAATGAGACCCTGGAACCAAACCAAGCTCAATCCCCAGCCCCCACCCCCCATAGTGACTCAGTCTAGCAACTTGGTCAGATTCCAGAGGGCAGTAAACTTCACTGGCTTCAGCCACAACGGTGCGTGTTCAAAACCTCCGACTCCTGCAGGTGCACACTTTCCCTGCCTTACCCGCATTCCCTGCAAGAGTGTGCCCAGCCGGCAGGGCAGCCTGACTTTGCTGTTACTCATGTGCTTTCTAGAATCACAAACCCCCGGGAGGGAGTCTAGTAGAGTTCGGTAGCAGGTTCTTCCAATTGGAGTTCCTGGAGAAGAGTGAACTCCAAGAATCACCTGCGACCGATCCTCCCTTTGATCTCAGCGGGGATCTTGGGCTAGCTGAGGAGCGAGCTGTGCTGCGCAGCTGGGCGCGGCAGACACTGGGGGTGGCAGTGTCGCTTGAAGCCCCAAGATGCCAGCGGTGAGTGACATCGGGGAGAGGAGCCCGGCCTCCCTTCCAGGGTCGGGGCACGGAGGGAGCACTGTCCTCTCTGCGCTCGGGCTAGGCAGCCTGCCCCCGCCTCCTCCCCCCACCCCCGCCCCCGGGCGCCCAGCATCGTTCGTTCGGCGGTCCAGACAAATCCTTAGGGATACCGGGGCACCTTGGGGCGCAACAACCTCTTGGGTTTGCTTGGCGCTAGCTGGCAGCATTCAGGAAGATGGGGAGACAACAGAGATCCTGATCCCCCTTTCAAAAAGCCACTGGGGAGGGAAAATGGAGAACTGGAACGCTGCAGCTCTTTTGAGAGCACTATTCAGCGCTTTTCCTGACGGGCTTCTACAGACCTCTTTCTCTCTTTCCCAGTCCTGGTAACCCAGCCACCGGCAAGGAAAGGACAATCCTGGTGACAGATAGGGTCTTAATACCCCTCGAGCTCCCGCTTTTACCGGTCATTGGCTAGCACTCTGGTGAAAAACAAGTCTAGATGAACACGGGTCTTTGACGTCTTCTGTTTATACATACTGATGGTAAAAATATTGCAAAAATACACTTGACATTAGGGATTTTGATTAAATTCCTACAAATAGGACTGTTAACCTAAAGTAGATTTTCTTTAGTTTTGCCGTGTGTGAGACAGGGTCTCATTTGTCCAGACTGCTGTAGATTCTCCACGTAGCTGAGGATAATTTTGAACCCTTGATCGACCTCCCAAGTAGTGGGATCACAGGAAGGACCGCCGCAGCCGCCTCCAGCGAGACTTAAAGAGAGCCATTTAGCAGAGATTTACTTTACTTTGTGTACCCCTGTACTTGCCCATGAAATTGTAAGAGGCAAACGAAGAGACTGGCGGCTATGTGTAAACACAGAACAGTCAACCAGGCACCGCCCCTTGTGAAAACGTACCAGCCCACTACACGTTTGGAAACTTACATGTGCTGTGGCTATTTAAACCTTGAAATTTCACTATATAAGCCCGAATGTTAAACTTTATGTGACAAATAAAAGGAGCTTCGAATCTACTTCCTTGTTACAACTTGCAATATAAACTTTGAATATGGATATGAATTTAAACATGAATTTTATTAACTCAAAGTCCTTTTCTAATTTATGACGCTCTCTTTAAACTTCGTTTATCCTGTCCGGACATTTATTCAGGGTTTTTTTGTTTGTTTGTTTGTTTGTGTTTTTTTTTTTTTGCTCTCGAGATGGTGCTTTGTTTCCACAGACCATGTCCAAGGAGATAACATTTAAAACAAACCCACTCTCTTATCTAAACCTATGATTAGTGATATGTACAAACAACTGTGTAAACTTTTCTATTTTTAGAACTTGAAATTCGTTTTTTACTCTTCTTTTTTTGGTTTTTCGAGACAGGATTTCTTATTTCCTTTTTTAAAGAACATCTTTTTATTGCACACAGAAAAACGAAAATCCTCTGCAGTCTGTTAAGGAGGATACTGGAACTGGCAAGACCCAAGGTGCTTTCTGGGTAATGATAAAGTTTATTTTCTACTCTATCTGTGTTATAGTTGGGAGTTCTGGGTGGCTCCTCGGCCCTGTTGTTCCTTAAGCCTGGAGCAGAGAAATCCTGGCTTACTCTACTGTGGTATCACATGCTAACCATACCTGTGGGACTTTCCAGAACCCTACTGTAAATTATCCTGTGTCTAGCATTTATTCCAAGTAGAAGTAGCCAGCACTAAAGACAACAAATTCAATGCCTATCCTCAGGGAGCTTAGCACCTGCAGAGAGCCAAGCACCAGCTGCCCAAACCTGATAGAGCAGGGTTGTAGTGCAGAAAGCACCTGGCCTGCTCCATTTAAGGTGGTCCCGGAAGCCCGGCCTTTAAGTTGGTACTTAGAGTCAGCTTCACTGAAGAGAAGATGGTGAGGCTCAGGAATCCTGACATAACTGTGTGCAAAAGCCTGAGGCAAGCAAGACCTCGCTTTATTCTAGATATTAGCTTTCTTTTTCTCTCCTCTTGTTTTCTGACCCTTAACGGGTGAGTCTAGGCTTGAAGATTTGGTTTAGACTCGGGTGCTTTCACCTGTTTGCCCATAATTGAAGAGTGGTTTTCCTTAAGTCTGTTATTGTCGAACTCAAGCAGGGTCCACAGGGAGTCTGAACGCTAAGAAACCCCAAGGAGACACAGCTGCTGCAGGGGCCCCACTGACCCCACATCTAGAACTTTTGTCTGGTGCTAATGAATGCTCTGACATTTTGATAAGTGATTATCAATAGACACTACTATTTTGTAGTTCCCATGTCTAGACCTTTTGTTTAAAGCTAATGAAAACTAATATTTTGAGTGATTGTCAACAGACATTTTGCTATTTTGTAGTTCAAGACTTATGTCTTTATTGCATTTTTGCTCCATATTATCTCACACTGAATTATAATTATTATTTGCAGTAAGGATGTTGGCACAGAAAGTCTTTCTCATGCTAGACAAGTGCTCTACCACTGGACTATATCCCCAGCCACAAAATTAAATTTATTCATTTCTTTAGTGGTGCTGGGCCTTGAACCCAGGACCCTGGCTGTGCTAGGTAGAAGCTCTATCATTTAGCTATATCCCCAGCTCTCTCAGAATTTTTGTTGAGTATACCATTATTTTAAAATATTGATATAAAACGAATGTGCTTTGGAAAATTAATAATCCACACACCATCTCCTTTCCAGCTTCAGTCTCTTGTCAATGATGCATTCCATGGCAAAGGATTTCATAAAATAGAAGAATATCTGCAGCAGAAAGAGAGTCACATGCCTCAAAAATACAACCATCTCCTCCTACACCATCTTGATAGATTGATAAATAAGGTGAGTGGTTTGATTTGTTTTGAGGCCTGAAAAGTCAGTGTGTGCGCACTGGGAAGCGTTCTGAAGTCAGTGTGTTCTGATGCCTAGGAACTGGATAAAAATGAGTTCTGGAATTGTTCCCTGCTGCTGAAATGTATCCAGAGATTCTTCAAAGATGACCCAGACCAAGAGGAGCCCTTGCTAATTCAGCAGGGACTGATCCCAAAGATAAGTGCACTTTACATTTAGGAGGCTTGGGACCCTTTAGAAAATCAGGGTGAGGGGTTGAGGGTGCTGTCCAAGAGTGAAGCATGTGCCTAAGGCATGTGAGGCCCTGGGTGGGGGTGGAATCAAATAATAACTAGTATGCTGGCGTGGTGAGGTTGCATGATTTTAATCCCAGCACTTGGAGGCAGAGGGAGGAGGATCTTTGAGTTCGAGGCCAGCCTGGTCTACAGAGTGAGTTCAGGAGAGCCAGGGCTACACAGAGAAACCCTTTCTCAAACAAACAAACAAACAAACAAACAAAACAAAACAAACCCCAAACAAAAAGCTACCATGAATTTAATTAGATAGTTTGATGTTTTTTCTTCCTTTGAAATCAAATTTGAAAGAAAAAATGGAGTCCAACCTTGTTGCTTCTGTCCCATAATTCATGTTCGGCAGAGCATTTCAGTTACCATTATATCTGAAGTTCTGGGGAATTGAACTCAGACTCTGCATGTGCTAGGTAAAACAAGCTCTGGTCCTCTGCAAGAGCAATTGCTCTTCCAACTGCTGAGCCCTTTCTACAGCCCTCTCTATAGCTATATCTAGATTTTTTTTTCTGAGACAGACTTTTGCTATATAACCCCAGGCTACCCTCAAACTTACAGCAGTCTTTCTGCCTCAGCCTCCTAAGTGCTGGGCTTGCAGACAGATGTATGCTGCTAAGCTCAGCTAGTAATGGCATGCTAGTTTCAGAGACTTTGGGGAAGATGAGGTGAACAGGGGTCTGGCTGTCTATCTGAGTAGACTTCCTGAGCATGATCAAACATAGAAAGATCATAAAAAAAACTTCCCATTGATCTTGACACACCTCTCTCTTTATTCTTCTAAATCCTCAGTCTAAAAAGCAAAGTTAAAAAAAAAGGAGCAAAGATATTTTTGCTTATCCAAGTCCCACGAGTGACAACATTTTACTGCTTTTTAAGATTAGCCAGGTAGTAACGGTGAGTACGTATATCAACAGCAGCTGGAAGCATCGCAGTGTGCAAACCTTACTGCTGCTCTCACTCTAGGGAGCAAGTGAGCCAGCAAGGTTTCTGCTGCCCTGTTTATGGGAAGGAAGGAGCAGGGAAGGAATGCAGTGGCCAAAGGCAACCAGGAGAGGGAGAAGTCTCTGCCCTACCACCTGGGCTGTCTGGATTTTAGAGTTTACCAAGACATTGGGCCAAGAAAGGACCATTTTACAATACACTGCCACTCATTCTGGGGCTGCCCCTTCCAGGGAGAGAGTAAACTGTAGGTTTTCCCAAACTCTTTTCTGATTTTTTGTTTTATTTTATTTAATGTCATTGAGAGTATGTTATGTGTCTAGTGTGTCTAGTGAGTGTGAGTGTGGTTGTGTATATGTGTGCCACAGTGTGTGTGTGTGTGTGTGTGTGTGTGTGTGTGTGTACTCGTAGGTAAAGGACAACTTTTGGATGTCGGTTGTCTCCTCCCTCCATGGATTCTGATAAGGAAACTCAGGTCATCAGGTTTGATGGCACGCACTTTTACCCACTGAGCTTTTAAAATGTTACAGAGGGCATTAAAGACTATGCTTTAGCTGGGTCTGGTGGCTCAGGTCTGGAATCCCAGCTATTTGGGATTCTGATACAGGAAGATTGTAAGTTCAAAGGAAGTCTGGGCTGCAGAGTGAGTTCAAGAGCCATCTGGGTAGCTTGCACAGTGTCTCAAAATAAAAGGTAAAGGATATTCCTTTATAGTAAAGCCTCCTGTGGGGCTTCTCCTGCTTTGGGGAGTTCTTTATAATGTTTCCCTAATAAATCTATGTTTGCTTTTTTCCCAACAGTAAAAGAAAAGAATAGGTAAAAAGAAAACTAGGGATGTAGTTCAGTGATAGAGCACTTGCCTAGCATGGATGAGACCTAATATCCCTACCACTGAAAACAAAAGGCATGATTTAAATTTGTATTTGATGTTCCTTAACTCCCCGGTGCCCTAACTTGGACAGACAATAGAGGGTAAGGAAGAGGAGATAAACCTCAAAGGAAACAGATCAGGGATGCCCCACTAGCACTTTGGAAACTAAGCTGGTTGCTAGGGAGTTGTGAATTGGAGTATGCCCCAACCTGCTTTTCCTCTTTAGGTCTTAAAGGCTACATTAGACACTTCACTCATTCCTATGACACAATGCCTTAAGCAAATTCAGGAGTTATTTGTTTTGGCTCACAGTTTGAGGGTAAAGTCCATCATGATGGGAGTCACAGCTGGAGGAACACAAAGTAGCTGGTCACCTTGCAGCCACAGTCGGGAAGCCCATGGAACTGAATGCTGGTGCTCAGTTCTTGTTTTTGTTGAGTCTAGGACCACAGCTTGTAAGACAGTGCCATCCACATTCATGGTGGATCTTCCCTCCCTGGTTGATTCTTCTGGAAACACCCTCACAGACACACCCAGAGGTGTGTTTCCATGGTGATTCTACATCCAGTCAAGTTGGCAATGAAGGTTAATTATCACAAATGCTCTCCCAATATGTAAAAAATGGGTCACATCAAATCCCTACTGGATTTTGAAATGGAAGTTTCCATGTTCTATTTGCTGATGAGATTGTCACAACTATCTCAGGCATCTTCTGAAGGGTATATTACTACATGTACATTTTGACCAATAAGAGCAGATAGACATTGTGGAGGAGAAAGGGATACTTGATTCTGTACTGTAAAACTAACTGTAGGCTCAGCACACTTAGGAATTAATTCTACTTCATAGAGTAGGAATTCCCTGCAGAAAGCCTATATTTAGCGCTGTCCCTAAGACCCAGGAGGACTCGGCATCATACCCTTAAGCCATTGCTATTGTCCAGTGAGGAAGCTGAGCATCTGGTAAATGATGTACCATTGGGGTACACAAGAGGGCTTTGAGAATGCTGCTTATTTCTTTTTATTTGTAACAATTTTTAGTTTCGTTTTATTTTTTTAATTTTATTTTATAATTAATTTAATTTAATTTTACATATCAGTCATGGATTCCCGTCTTCCCTCCTCCCACCCCTCCAGCTTTCCCTCCCCAGTCCACCCCCAATTCCCACTTCCTCCAAGGCAGGGTCTCCCCTGGGAAGTCAGCCCAGCCTGGTAGATTCAGTTGAGGCAGGTCCTTCTTATTCTTAAGCATCAAGATCAACTACACAGAACCACCCGCCTTTTCAACTCATATTTTCCATCAATGGTTCATGCCCCTCATGCTATGTTCAACTGATGATTTATGACTTTATATGCATGTATTTTCTTACCCTCCTTTGTGTATGTGTGTTACTAGAGATTGAACCCAGGACTTTGCATGCTAGGAGGGTTCCCTAAGCTATATCTCTAGACCTTTTTTTCTGTTTTTATGAGTTGCCAGTTTCAGCAAAAATGGTCCAAAGATGGCCCATACTTTACTGAGTACATCTATTTCAAGATGTCAAGGAAGTTATTTTCAACTATTCTAAGCATAGCATGAAACTGAACTTATATTCTTTTGGGGGGAAAAATCCAATGAGCCAAAAGCTCTTAGAAGAAGAAAGATAACAAGGCCTGAGGTATAGTTTCTATAGTCATGAAGACTTCTGCAGCAATGCCCAAGCTGTTCATCTTTTTGTTTAATTTGGTTTTGTGAGAGGATCTCACTGTGTAGTTTAGGCTGGCCTTGAATGCATAGAAGTCCTCATGCCTCATCTTCCCAAGTCCTGGGCTTCTAGGCACGCTCTACCACACCTAGCTCATTCATCTTTTTTGATTGTTTGCTTTCTATAGCTTCCCAAAGCCATTCGATTTGCCCTGTGCTGCACAGGTTCACCTAACAAACTCTTCAGCAGCCTCTCCTGTGGGTGTTTTGGCACCAATCCTCATCAAGTGTCCCATTTTTACTGATGTGTATGACTTATCCTAATTCTAGACTATTTGCATACTTTCTGACTGGCTCTTGGTGGATGGGAAGCCTGTATTATGTGAGGGAAAAGGTTTTCCAGCTGCTTTCTCTAGTGGGAGATTGTCTTATAAATCTTGTGAGGTAGGTGGTACTCGGACCATGCGGTTCTATCAGCACCTCTTCTGTGCACATGGTTTCCTGGTTTGAAACAGTCACAGGATTTCTGATGACAAACGTCATGGCCTCAGATGCACTGCTGACTACTGCCCTGGGAGACTTCCTGGACACCGCCCTGGTAAGGATGGGAGTGCTTCAAGGGATGATGCCAACGGTGATAGGCAGGAATCTAAGTGATTTGTAAAACTTCCTTCTGTTTTAAGTTCAGACTTAAAAAGAAATCTTTTATGAAGTTGGCCTTTTATAAGATGTGAATTTTTAAAGACTTTCATAGTTTATGATTAAGTCATTGTGTGAAAGAGTAGCAGACATTAATATATTCAACCAATGACATAAGAAACTGAGAGTTCATTGATTTTATATATTCTAACATGTTATTTGTGTGACTGTAGGGAATGTGCTCATTTTAATGAGGTAGCTATAATTCTAACAGTCTTCTAGTGGGTTTTTTCTCCCATCTCTGCGTTCAGTTTCTGTCCGTTAGTATTCATGTGTTAGTGTCAGAATGTATGATGCTTTGAAGTAACAAGCTGCACTTTTCCTTCCCGTTCATCAGGTCATTTCCAGGCACAGCAGGAAAGGTACGTATACGAGCAGTTACTAATTGGCTATTTTTCATCAAGAGAATATCTTGGCACCGATGGTTTAAATGCCAGGCAAGGGTGAAATTTAAACACATCTGGATTTATCAACCACTTTACACAGTCCTGCTCTGATGCAGGAAGGCATTTTTTGGTAAAGTGTGTCTCAGTTTTCTGCAATGTATTGGTGGCTCTGGTCACCGCTGTGTGGCAATCCTCTGTTCAGGTAGTGGAGAGCCATTCTGTCTCCAAAGCAGCAGGAGTTTTAGCTGGGTTTGGATCTGGTTTCTGCCTAGGTTCACTCGCTAGAGGCCTGGTCCTGCTGGGCCTACTGTGAAGCAGTTAGATCACCATGGCCTAGCTCTGTGAAGGGATTAATCATGTGTGAGACTGAACTAGAACTCGTGAGAATAGAAACTAACTGCTGGAATTACTTGTTAGAAAGAGTTGGGCTGTTGCCTTTTGCTTTCATGCTGTCTGCTGCCCATGTGGCCTCTTCCACACTGTGTTCCTGCCACTGTGACTCCATCCACCATGGGTTCCTCCCCAGAAGTCACAGACTATGCCACCATGCTTTAGAGCCTCCAGACCTGTGAGCTAAATCATCCTCTTTTCTTTGTTAAACAGACTCAGCTTCTGGTTATAGCAACAGACAGTTGCCCAAGACACAGACCAGCAAGGTTTAGCTACTATTGACTTAACTTGGAGCTGATATTGATTTACTTTGGAGACAATGAAAATAGCTTTGCCTTTCCAGGGTGTACAAGGTAAAATACCCACAAGGCAAAGATTTGTTCCATTCAGTTCCTGTTAAAGGGTAGTTGGCATTTTGAAATATGATAGCCTGGAAGCAAAGATGCACTTGGAATGCTTGAGAATCCCAGAACATATGGCCATCACAATATGAAATGTCATTTTTCCTGGGGTGCTACTTGGTTTTAAGAAGCTGTTAATGAGCTGATGTTATGTTCCACAATGGATGGTGATTGAGGAAACTTAGCACCAGGAGCTTAGGTACATACTGCATCTCTGTGTACTTGGGAACAAATGCCAACTGCATGGTAGTAGGAAGCTATGAGCAGCAGGAGCATGGGCAGCTGTTTGCTCACACCTAAGCAGATCAGGAAGCAGAGATGAATGCTAGAGATCTGGCTTTCTTTCTTTCTTTTTTCTTTTCTTTTCTTTCTTCTTCTTCTTTTTTTTGACAGGGTTTCCCTGGTTGTCCTCGATCTTGCTCTGTAGACCAGGCTGGCCTGGAACTGACAGAGATCTGCCTGCTTCTGCCTCCTGAGTGCTGGAATTATAGGTACCACCACCGCCCAGCTCAAGATCTGGCTTTCATGGTAGCCCCCAGACCACGGAATGGTGCCACCCACTGAAAAGAATACCCCAGTTAATCGTTTCTAGAAACACTATAACAGACACAGAAGAGAGATGTGACCTAAGTGATTTTAAATCCAGTGAGGCCAGCAATGAAGACTAGCCATCCCAATCTCCAGCTGCCGTACTATAATTTTGAAGAGCATCATTAGGGTGTGGGTGGGACATGGTCAGAACTTTTGAACATTTTGTATCTCTGACTTTAGTTCAGTAGAATTCTTGCCCTGTCTTTTGTCCCCATCATAGCCCTGCTTCATTCTCTGTGTTGTTGAAGTTGTAGGCAGGAACCGTGAGTGTATACACACACACGGTTGTGTTACATGGCTCATGAAGGCTGAATCCAATCTTCAGGAAAATTTGCTCTTTGATAATTTTATCTATGTGCAAAAATTCTCAGTTCTGACACTATCCACTCACCCCATTCCTCGCCAGTGCTCAGTGTATTTAGAGTTTTCAAGTTTTTCTCAGAAGGCATTGTTGTTATTTTCTCTCATTGCTTCTTCCCCAGACCTCAATTCTGTAAACACGACCTTCCTCCTGCTCTCAGGTCTGCCCTCCACTCTTTACTTGGTGTTGCAAAGGGCTGCGTTTCATGGGCCCTCTTGCCAACTGATAGACTGCTCGATTTAGTGCAGGAAAACTAATGTTGGGGAACAAACAGGACATTTTCTTCCCTCCTTCTGTTGGGGTACCACCTGCTTAAGTATCTTCATTGTCCTTGCAGTTCTGGCCCAGCTGTGGATGTAACTTTTGTAAGATGGCTGTGAGTTTTTCTTCCTTCCTTCCTTCCTCCCTCCCTCCCTCCCTCCCTCCCTCCCTCCCTTCCTTCCTTCCTTCCTTCCTTCCTTCCTTCTTTCTTTCCTTCTTCTTTCTTCTTTCTCCTCCTCCTCCTCCTCCTTCTCCTCCTCCTCCTCCTCCTTCACCTCCTTCACCTCCTTCTCGTAGCTATCACAAAACACCTGAGAGAAATCAATGTATAGGAAGAACAGTTGATTTTGGATCACAGTTTCAGAAGTTCTGTGGTCAGCTGGCCCCACTGTTTGGGCCTGAGATGAGACAGGATATTAGAGGCATGTGGCTGAGAGGCCATTTCACGGTGGCCAGGAAAGAGAGAGAACAAAGGGCTGGGGACAGTGTAAACCCTTGAAGGAACACCCATCAGTAGCCTGTTTTCTCCAACCAGATCTCCCCTGCCCTGCTGCCCTTAAGTAGCCCATTGAGCTGTGAACTCACCAATGAGGTTAATGTAGCCATGGAGTCGTCACCCTCAAGATCACTCACATAGCACCATCGCTACCAGTTGGGAACGTTCAGCATGTAAGACTTTGAGAACATGTTATGTCCAAACAGTAGTGCTAGTCTTGACTGCTTTCTTCTTAGGACCCTCAGTGCTGGACATTAGGGAATGGTGGGCAGTGGCTTCCTGCTGGTGTAAATCTGGGGGCTGCCTCACTGTTCCAAGCTTACCTTCTCAGCTTTCCCTATCTTTCCAATGATTCTCATGTATTACACCCCTCGGACTTAAGTATCTACAATGGCTGGAAGTTTTGTTTACACTTTTGTTCCTGCTTATGTCTACTTTCATTTTAGCCTGGTGCTTTCTCATGCAAGTTTTCTGAAAATTTATTTCCTAGTTTGTGTTGTCAGCTCCAGGACAATCGGGCAAATGCTTCCTGCTTTTTTAACAAAGTGTCTTGAAACACTTCTCAGAAGTTACTTTTCTGCTACCCTTTTGTTATCTAAGCCCTCCTGCGTCACAGGGCCACATCCTCTCACTTTCCCTAGCTTGTCTCAAAATGAAACCACGACACTTGACTTGTCTGTATGTGGAACACGTGCAGACACCTCCAAGAGTCTTGCTGGCCAGCCAGACTTTTAGTAGAACCTTTGAGTCTGACCTGGTGGACAGTTTGTTTTATACTTCCCAGTTTGATCTCCTACAATTGTATGAGTTATACTGGGATAAAAGGTATATACTTTGTGACAACTAACTTACATATTGAGATGATACATCTGAACCTACCCAAATTATACTCTGACCTGGCATTAATTTTATGTGGTGTTCACTGTTATTTCCACTTACTCCCTTAATATAAGTTCACAAACAAAACTGTAAAAGGTAGCTTTCATTTAGTTATGTGTAAAATAGTATCTCTCAGTCTATTTGTTTTCTGATCTATAAACAGCTGTGGCAATTTCTGTGTTCTGTTAATGAAGACCAACTTATTTAAAAGTTCCTGCTTCAATGCTATAGACTTATAGCAAATTTAATTTGTATATTATGTATAATATTTGTATTATTATGTAATGTAAATTCATATAAACCATGTAAACAGCACAGCCCACATGCCTGCACTTGGAGCGTTGCCCACTGTAGACAGAAAGTGGCTTTGTTCAGGTTATAGCATTGACAGTGAGGCTACCCACACTTTGCTCAGGCTGCTGTTACAGTCCTTTGTGGGTATTTACGAAAACAAGTGTCTGGCAGCCTGGGGGCTGCTGTGACCCAAAGCTGGCTGTCACCTGTCCCTTGCCTAGGCTGTCATCCCTGCACTGTATACTGCTTCCAGCTTGTACGTCTTCCTGCTTGTAGGGGTCAGCTCTGACTCTTTCCATCATCCATTTGATGCTTTGACAACTGCACTTTCAGGGACAATCCAGATGTTGGATTCCTTCATATGTAATTTAGGATTCCTGGTAGTAGAAGGCACCGTGAAGCCCTCCATTCAGCAGGAGGTGAGTTGTATCAAAACTGTAAGTTAACGGTTGCTCTGGAAAACTCAGAGAAAGCATGCATGCGTTTTCGTTTTGTTTCTTTTCCGTGAATCCTCACTCCAATTCTGAGCAGGCTCTGAGTACTTTGAACTGCATCTTGGACGCCGTGCCCCGGGAAGAGAGAAGGAAGCTCTCCTCAGCAGAAGGCACGCGCAGTCTTATGTAAGTGAACTCACACTCAGGTGATGGTGTAAGCCCCAAGTCTCTGTACCTTTCTTTGTCCTCTGCACACCCACCTACTTCATTCCTTCCTCCACTGTGTACCTTGTGAGTTCACCAAGTATGTGTACACATGTGCACCTGTATGTGTGTACATGTGTATGGAGCTCACTGACCCTGGTGCTCCTTAAATAAGCTAGGTTGGCTGGCTGAGCCCCAGAAACTCTCTTCCTCCTCAGACCTGAGATTACAAGTTTTTTAGGTAAATAGTTAATAGAATAATTCCTTGTGGCTGTTTCAGACATCCATATTGTTTATTTATTTATTTATTTATTTTTACAGGGTAACAGTTTATTGTTAAAAGTACTTTTCTAGGCATATATTTAATTAACATTGAACTAATTAACAGAACATCCATTTCAGTTAAACTTTTATTTTAATCTTTCAGTTATATGTAGAATATTGTGTTATTTAAATTTTCCCATATCATCATTGTAGAGCTGTATACTCATTTATCTATAATTACCTTCAGGCTATAGCAAACCATATTGTTTATTTTATCCATCTCCTTCCTCTTCCGGTATTTTGCTCCCTTCCCTTCCCTAAGGAACCCCCTTTCCCCATTTCCCTCAGCAGACCACCTGTACTCTGCCATCCATCTCTCTTGCTCCATGGCCCCTCCCCCCACCCTCGAATGGTTCCGTGTTAGTTCCTGGCTTCTGTAGTTACTTACAGGCTATCAGCTCACTTCTGAAGATTTGGAGCTAGCAGCTTCCAAAAAGAGAGGTCATTCGATGTTTTTCTTTCTGGGTTACCTCATAGGAACTTTTATAATTCCATTTATTTACCTGCAAATTTCATGATTTCATTTTTATTTACAGTTGAATAGTATTCCGTAGTGTAGAGAGGCCACATTTTTGTTATCCATTCTTTGGTTGTAGGGCATTTGAGTTGTTTCCATTTCCTAGCTCTATTGTGGATAGAGCAACCATGAACATGTCTGAACACGTATCTGCAGAGTAGGATGTTGAGTCCTTTGGGTCTATGCCAAGGAGTGGTACAGCTGGATCATATGGTAGATTTATTTTTAGCTTTTAGATTTTGCCACACTGATTTTTTTTTATTTTATTTATTTATTATGCATACAGTCTTCTGCCTGCATCCCTGCAGGCCAGAAGAGGGCACCAGATTTCATTACAGATGGTTGTAAACCATCACATGACTGCTGGGAATTGAACTCGGGACCTCTGGAAGAACAGAGGTCTTAACCTCTGAGCCATCTCTCCAGTCCCCTTGCAAACATTTCTCTAGGACTGGTGGGTGTTGGGGAGAAGACACTGGTTTGATTTTTCATATTGCCGGTATTCTCATGATGAGATCTGAGCATGTGCATTCCTTTGTTAGTTCTGAGCTTATTATGGATGGGGCTGGTCAGAGGAGAAGAGGGGGTATGGGGGAGGGAGTGGAGGTGGGTCTAGAGGTTGGAAGTGGCTTGGGTGGAATGAAGTCAGGTAGGCAGAGGGGACTGGGCTGGCATACAGGTCATGCTCCAAGCCCAGCCTGGGGTGGGGTAGATGTCTGAGTGGAAAAGTTGCATATGACATAGGAGAGCCCTGTGGTTTGATGGACTGGTAGCGAGGCTACTGGCCCAAGCCTAGCACTCCTCTGTAAGGAAGGCAGGCAAGGCTTCTAGGCTGGTGGATTGTGGGACCCATGCTAACTCTGGTAGATTGTGGAGAAGGCATGAATGAGGAGGTCAGGTATACTCACCAGGCTAGACCCCGGAAGAGGACATGGGAAGTCTGAGTAGAGAATGGGGTGGTAGAGGCAGTGCAAAGGGTCCTGCATGGGTGGACACAGGTAAGGCGGGTCCTAGTGCGAGCCTAGAGTTGACTGCAGAGTAGAGGTGGTGGGACTATATTCGGCTGGAAGTGTGGGACCCTGTGGAAGTCTAGAGGTTGGCTGCTCTTCAGGCTTGGAAGGGATGGCCAGACTAGGCAGGGACACTAGCTGTGGGACCCTAGCTAGATATGGTAAGTTTTAGGAAAAGTATGGGGTGGTGAGGGCAACTTACCAGGCTAGACCCTGGAGGAGGCTGTGGATGTCTGGCTTTTTAATGTGACCTCTGTAGCTAGAACTCAGGCCCTTATGCTTGTAAGGTATGCTCTTCACTGTTTAAGCTTTCTCCCCGACCCCACAAGACATCTTTATTCTTTAAAATGAGAGATTTTTGCTAAGTATGGTGTACCCCTGACATCCCAGTCACTCAGGAGGCTGAGACAGGATCATCAGGTTAAAGCCGGTTTGGGCTTAAATAGTGAAATGGTCTTGAAACACCAAGGGCTATGGATGTAGCTGAGTGAAGCATCTGCCTAGCATGTACAAAGCTGTAGATTGGAACCTCAGTGCTACCCTCCCCCATGCCAGTCACGTGCAAAGATTTTCACACATTAAGGAAAAAGAAAGAGTGTGTTTTAGTATTTAGTGGGCACACTAGAGAGGATGGATACACACTAGCATGCTACAGGAGAATCTAAGATTATGATGTATCAGTAATGTAAAATGTAACAGCTTACTTCCATTATGTTTCAAAATTAAGTTGGTCAGTTGAAAATTGCATTGATTTTGTCATGGGAGAGGCTCAGGACCCAAGGTCTCAGCTCCATCATGTTCAAGCTGTATGTAAGATGAGTACTCCCATGGAGTGCTGACTAGGGAAAAGAGAACAACTAGAGGTGGCCCATGTCTGAGGGGGTTGAGGCAGGAGGATTGCTATGAATTCAAGGTTAGCCTAAGCTACAGTAAGACCCTGTTGCAAAAAACAAACAAACAAACAAACAAAAACCCTCCCTACCCAAGCTCCAAGAAACCTTAAGAAACCTCAAACTTCAGAAGCAGATCATTCAATGGACCCTCAAATCTGAGGAAGCTAAATTCACTTCATGAAAGAGAAAAATGGAACCTCAAAAATACAGTAACTTCTAGCTTCTTTGAAAATGCCTGTCAGGGGATTGGAGAGATGGCTCAGTGGTTAAGAGTTCTGGCTCTTCAGAGGACCTGGATTCAATTCCCAGCACCCACATGGTGGCTCACAACTGTCTGTAACTCCAGTTCAAAGGTGTCCAATACAATCACATAGACATGCACACGGGGAATACAGCAACACATCTAAAATAAAATTAAATAAATTATTTTAAAAGATGAAAACTTTAAAAAATGCATAGTGATCATTAAAATATGACCTTGAAGAAAATTTCCATTGGAAGGTACTTATATGCACATTGTGGAAAGTCTGATACTGATTTCAAAAATACTTATCTTGGTTTTAAACTTATTAATTTAATAAGGCTTTACCTCTTGATGATCATCTCAGTAAAATGTAGTCTATTTAAATGTTTCAGGAAAGAATTGGCAAGGACAATCTTGACTGTGGGAGGTAAGTGTTAAGAGTTTTAAATGCTTAGAATATCAGACACTGGGAGATGTATGAGGATTAAATTATGTTCCAACTGAAGATAGGAAATTAAGATTTTGTTTTTGCTTCTGAGAGACTCTGGCCTGCTGAAAATCATAATAGTTAACAGACACCTACTGGCCAGTTTTGTCACATTTTAATATTGTACTACATGTGCTTCAGTTAAAATCCTTTCAAGTAAAAGCCATCAGAGCCGCAGATAAGGCCTTCTATGTCCATGTTCCCACTTCCTGTCTTTGACTCAGAGTTCTTTTCATTCTCAAACATAATTTTTATCTACATAATAATTACATGACTGTTTTATAAATTTAAAACCATTATGTGACCGCTGCCTTGTCAGTCTATCTGATTACATCCCTCTTTTTGCCTTTACAATTATTCGAGGTTTGGGCTATGGATGTAGCTCAGCTTGTCTAACACACACAAAGCTCTGGGTTTGAGCCCTAGCTCCCCATAAACCAGCTGTGGTGACATATGTCTATATTCTCAGTACTAGGGAGGTGGTGCGAGAAGATTCAGGAGTTCATGGTTACCCTTGGCTATGTAGTGAATACGAGTCTATCCTGAGCTACAATAGGACCTTTAAAAAAAAAAGAATTATTTAACATTTGAGCAGGTAGTGTAACTGCAGTAAAATACTGTAACTTTAATGAGATTTTTTTGTTGTAGAACTATTTTAAGGCTATTTTATCTGAGTTGATATTTTAATATGCTTTAAATATAAAACTTAAAACTATATGTAAACACACACATATTTTTTTTTCACATTACTAGGGATTGAGCTCAGCACCTTGTACATACTAGGCAAATATTGTACCAATATTCCCAACACTCAGAAATAGCCTATTCTTATTTGCCCCTAGCAATCCTTCAGTATACTTTGGATGGTCATAATGACTCTGAACACATTTTGTTGCATTTCCCCGAGTGCTTTAGCACTGGACCAAATGGTGACTTTAAAATGTCTTATTTTCTGTCACTTTGTGCCCAGAATTGACCATGTCTGCTGTGTTTTGAATCTCTAGATTACAGTCAGCAGGTTGCTCTAGCTGAGGCATTGTGTAGAATGGCCACTGGCACACTGAGGAATGAACTTGCTCTTCAGTGGTTTGATGATGCCGTCCTGGCTGAAGCTTTCCAAGAAATTAAGAACCGGGAATTTGAGACGGTGAGAATTCTGGTCCTAAGAGACTCGGCTCAGTCAGTATTTAGGAGGGTCCTCTCAGAACTTTCCTGGATTTTAGGTTTAGGGGAAGACTTAATTTTCTTAAGGATGAAAACAATTTCATTTTATATATATATATATATATATATATATATATATATATATATATATATATATATTTTGTGTGTGTGTGTGTGTGTGTGAAGGAATATGTGTGTTGAGTTGCAAGCGCTGTTGGAAGTCAGAAGATGGATCTGGAGTTCGAGGCAGCTGTGAGCTGCCTGACAGAGGCCCTGGGGACCACAGTAGGATGATCTGCAAAAGCAGTACATGTTCTTAAGTGCTGAGCCATTCCCCCAGCCCCCCACTGCTTAAAGTATGATTGGATTGCAAACCTTCCCTTTCTGTTCCCCCATGCCAGAGAAACAATTTGAAGGTGGCATAAACAAAGTATCTGGGCACCATGTGAGAAGGTACCTACAGAGCTTCCTTAGAGGGAACTGGTCAAGGAGACACTGGGAATTTGATGGGTCCATCCAGGCAAGGGAAGCATTTGGGAGCAGGTAGAGACGTTGAATGGCCCTTCAAGAGTAGGGATCCAATTGGAGAAGAAAGAGCAGAGAATTGGAGCCTTGAAGAGCGAAGCTGTGGCCGTGGCAGGTGGCTGGCATCGGCATTTGTGCTCTCATGGTGAGGACCATAGCATGGTTAGGCTGTGTGCCATCCAACAGCTGCAGTTCGGAAGCACAGAGATTCGTGGTGGTGGTTGTGTGTGTGTGTGTGTGTGTGTGTGTGTGTGTGTGTGTGTGTGTGTGTTGTGAAGTCTTAGCTTACTATGATTGTTCCCAAGGAGCACAAAGATGACTTTCAGCTTTATTGTGTACCTGCCTTCTCCTACAGTTGGTAATGTGTTTTCTTGATTTATAGATTTAAAACCATGTAGCTCAGCTTGTCTAACACACACAAAGCTCTGGGTTTAAGCCCTAGCTCCCCATAAACCAGCTGTGGTGGTTTACAGTTGCTAATGTATTTTCTTTATTCCTTTCAAAATCTCTTTAAATCAGGGTTAGAGTCTCAGGAAAGGGTACAATTCCTCTTACATGTTCATTTAAATGAGGCCTTCTAATCAACATCCCTGTGTAGTCAGGATTATTACATGATTCACATTGTACCACATTTGAATCTTTATAGTGTGTGTCTTAGACTCTAAGGCTGCCATATGCACAGAAAAGGTGTAGCCAGGATGCGGTATGTTCTAATGAAAAGGTCATGACTCCAGGCTCTTTTGGCCAACTTGAGTTTGAGTTTTACCTCAAATTAGAGTCCCACTTGCCTGATTTAGGTGATGTTTGCATAAATTTAGACAAGGTCATGGACTAGGGAAGTCGTAGCATTTCAACTACAAAGTGGGAATAAGTTCCACCTGAAAATGAGGAGTTTCTTAGGGTTACTATTGCTATGAAGAAACACCATGACCCAAAGCAACTTGGGCAGGAAAGTAAGGGTTTATTTGGCTTACATATCCCAAATCACAGCCCACTGAGGGGAGCCAAGGCAGGAACTCAAACTAGGCAGGAACCTGGAGGCGGAAGCTAATGCAGAGGCCATGGAGGGATGCTGCTTACTGACTTGCTCCTCAAGGTTTACTCAGCCTACCTTCTTCTAGCACCTAGTACCACTAGTCCAGGGGTGGCACCACCCAAACTGGGCTGGGTCCTTCCACATCAATCATTTATTAAGAAAATGCCCAACCGGCCTGCCTGCAAACGTATCTGGGCGATATGTGGGAAGATAAATATAGGGTGTCTTTAGAGGAACCCGAGCCAGGAGACAAACTGAAAATTTGATGGGTCTTATGGAGGCAATTTCTTAATGGAGGGCCCCTTGTCTAAGATGACTTCAGACAACTTTAGCTTATGTCAACTTGACATAAACCAGCTAGCACAAGGAGAATTTATGGAGAGAAATCGAGAAAGCCTGGGATGATATGAGCAACCAGACACTCGCTTATCTGCTTCTACAGATAATGAAAATAGAATAATTATCTTGTTTCCAAAGTCATCTGTCCAACTGCCTCCCAGTCCATCATTTTCTCTGTAGAATTGATTTTAGAGGAAAGCCTTATGCTGCTCATGTCTATTTAGGGCCAAATATAGATTTGAAATGTGAGAAACATTTGACTACAACAGCCAGTCCTTGGAAACAAGAATGAAGATAAATCTGGACCCAAGTCTCTTTGTCCTTAGAAAGTCAGGGCAGTATATTCAGTGCCTCGATGACTGTTGCTTAGGAGAATTGCAGAGGTAGTTCTTGCTCTTAGAGTATATGGCATAGATGCCCTACAAAGGAGAGGCATGGGAAGTATGTCCACATGAATCCACCCAAAGTTAATAGGTTGTACAGCCGGGCTAGGCAGGTATTAGGGAAATACGTGCTAGATTGGTTAGTCAAATACTGGACCCTAACTATTAGGGAGATCTATTTTCCTTGCTCTTTTGCCCAAATGAATCTATCACATATTTGACTTGTGAGCCCTGAGTATTTCTCAGCTGAGGAGGCGATTCTGAGAGTATGAGGAGGCCCACCTACAGCCTTCTCCTGGGGCACAGAGTATCGTTAACATAAAGCAGCGAATCCTTGTGAAGACTTAGGGTTGCTTAGGAAGGTAATCAAGATAGAGTGCTTCTAAATTTAAGACCTGTATCACTTATTTTAGGACTGTCGACAGTTTCTCAATTTCCTGAATAACAGACTCGGTGACAGGAGAAGGTAATGTGTGTCTTTGGGATTATCTTATTGACTAGCTATAATGTGATATTGACTGATATTTTAAAAGAATATCTAGGATCTTTTTAATTCTAAGAGAACATAGAATCAAGATTTTACTGATAGAATCAGATAGACTAGAAATTTAGGAAGAGCCTGGTGTAATGGCTCACACTTGTAATCTTAGTACTCAAGAGGCTGAAGTGGGTGTGTGTTGGGTTTTTTTTTTTCAAATTTATTTATTTTATGTGCATGAGTGTTTTACCTCTGTATGTATAACAGATGTGTGCCTGGAGGGTGTCAGATCTGGAACTGGAGTTCTAAACAGTTGTGAGCCACGATGTGGGTGCTGGGAACTGAACCCAGGTCCTCTGCAAGAGCAGCAAATGCTCTCAACCATTGAGCCATCTCTCTGATCCTAAGAGTTCCTGAATTTCTTGAAGAATCATTTTGAAAGACTAAAGGTGCCCAAGGATAGGCATACCACAGACAGGGAAGTCTTTGATGAGACAGTCTTTGCTAAATTCACTCTGTTCTTGGGATTTGGACCAAGTAATTTTTCTGAAACAAGTACTAACCACCTTGACTTATACACTGCCTGCTGGCGAGTCGAAATCTACCCACAGTGGATCTCTGTTTGCAGAGCTGTAACCCTCTCATAGCCTGTCGATAGGGGACTTCCCAGCATGCCATTGCTGTGGAAACTCATTATAAGACATTTGCAGCTCATTTTGATTTTTAATTGTGAGGTGTTTTGCAGGGTCTACTCATTCCCGTGCTTAGCTGCTTTTGCTGATGCGCAGGAGGTAGGTCTGTCTGTCTGTCTCTCTCTAAAGAGTCTTAAGGGTGGTATGAATGAAACACTATTAGGTTTATACAGTTAGAGCAGACCGACTGCCAGTACTCTATAGGGCCATTTACTTATTTTTGTATGTGCACACACACACACACACACACACACACACACACACACTTGCATGTGCATGTATGTTCATGTGTATATGCACATACATGTAGAGGCCAGAATAATCCTGGGTGTCACTCCTCAGGCACTGGGCAAATAGGAGCCTTGTAAAAAGGATGCCAATTTCTCTTAGTAACCTTACCTTCAAACTCATCTGATCATGTCATAACTAGGATGCATTTTCAGAAAGATTAAGGGGTCTGTGGTTATACTGGGAGAAAGGATGTTAGAGTCCAGACTGTATGAGACCCTTGTTTCATTTTACCTGTTCGGGAACATTGTTCACGACTGAACTGGAAAGCAAAGCGTCAGCGTTCTCCTGTTTTTCCCTTCTAGTTGGCATTCTCTCTCTTTCTAGCAGCTGGGCCGTTTTCCCGTCTCTGCACAAGGCACATTGGCACAAGGGACCTTTCTGAACCGTGTGTCACTGCAGCTCAAACACGGTGGTGGCACACTGTGGGCTTCCATTCTACCTTATACATTGGCGTCTAAGGCTAACTAGTTTCTTTCCCCATCTTCTGTGGTTTCTAGAAGAAAGTACAAGGGCTCCAACAAGTAGCATCACAACTTCCAGGTGAAGTACATGAATTTACCTAGAACCATGACTCAGTTGAGATTTCTTGAATGTCTTAAATCATTTCATTGTCGTGAGTTCAGAGACTCGTTCATGGCTTCTGGGGCTGAGCTTTTCAACTTACAATAGTACGTCCAAAGTTCCTTCTGTCCACAGCTGAATTTGATGGCTGGATGCTTCTCTGTCATGTCCTCTTCCTCCTCTGCCTGCCTGAGGATTTCATTACTTGCTTGCCAGGGCTTGCAAGCTTCTAGCTGCTTAAATCTCAGCTCTTATACTTGAGCCATGCACTGGCTTTTAGTGTCCTTGTTGAGGGGAAAAGCTCTATTCAGCTCTGTAGCTGCTGTGGTAGGCTGGAATGACGGAAAGGAAAAATGTCCAAAGAATCCCATTCACTAGAAAAGTGGGTTATAGCATAGTAGGTCTGGTGTTTGAGCCACTGTTGAGGGAATAAAGGCATTATGCATAAGACTGAGCACCCTGATGCCAAAAGTCTAAAATGCTCCAAAGTCCCTGACCTACTGAGTGCTCCATGATATCAAACTGGAAAAGTTACATGCATGAAGATTTAATCTTTTTTTTTAGCTAGGAGTGGCAGTACCCCCACTGGTAATTCCAGGCCTGTTTAGGAGGAGATGGGAGGCTCCCTGGACTCACTGGCCAGCCAGATAGAACTTGTGCCAAGCCTAATGACCCGAGTTCAGTCCCCACGTCATGCATGGTAGGAGCAAACTGGCTCCTGCAAGTTGTCCTCTGACCTCCACATATATGCCATGACATGCACTCATGCACATGAAAACACACACTATGATGTGAAACGAACTTAAAATATCCCACACCTGTCTTCATGCAAGACACGGGTAAAGTACGAGTATACTCAGGCTGTCGTATAAAACTCCCTTCAGGAGGGGGAGTCAGTTTGTTTGCGGTCTCAATGAGTCCGGTCCCCAAGGTAACTTATATATATGCAGCCATTCCAAAAGCAGAATCACTCTGGTCTAAGTGTTTCAGATGAGTGGTGCTCAGCCTGGACTCCCTGACATTTGTCTGGAAAACCTCTGGGGAGGATTAAAGGCATTGTTAGTGGAGCCTCTGGACAGATACATATGGGGAGTTGGGCAGAGAAGGCATTTACTCTTTCTAGAGCACTACATTGTTTGAATCCTCAATTTTCCCTCTAAGTATGTATTATGTAATGATTAAAAACAAAAAGAATTTGAGCTCCAGTATTAGCTGTTCTCTAACTGATGGTAAGCTGGACACCAAAGTCTCACTCATTTGCTCATGGTATCTCTTTTGCTAGAAGTTTCCATCTCTATTCAGTGTGGTTTTCTACTCTTTCAGCACAAAACAGGTTCCCCCTACCCCCATGATTTTCACCAAGAAAAAAATAGTGTGGGTAGAGCCATGTGACACATTTAAGTATCTATTAAATATGCTGCTGCTGATGGGATCTTCCCAGGAATGGAGTGTGAGATCGAGACCCACTTTCTGATCTGCACAGGATTCTGGTAATCAGAGCTGCCGGTAGTTCCGTTCCAGGATGTTAGCCACTTAAACTGCATCCTTTGACATGAGATTCCTTATAACTTCTGCTGAAATTCTCCCACAGATGAGAAAGCCAGCAGACGAAAAATTAGAGGAATTTGGATTGATTTCAACCTAGGAAGCCAAAGCGTGACTTTTTACATAGATAATAGAGAGGTAATTAAGATTCATTCACCCCAGCAGCCCTAAGTATGTAGGAATTCTTTGTATAAATCCTATTGCCCATTCGTGACTTCCACCCTGTCTCTTTTCAAGAGTGCTCTGTGGGAGCCCGTACAACTTGTGAAGGAGGCAGTGGCCAAGTTCAGCATAATGGGTAAGACAGTGATGTAAATCCCTTCCCTCGGGGCTTCCAGTGTTGCTTCTGTTGATGTTACAGTATTCAGTTAATTCTAGAGCAGATTTTGATCATGTTCTTATTTGGCATCAACTTTTCTAATTTTTTTCTTTATTTAAAGATTTATAATTTTTATTGATAAGTTCATGTCTGTCTGTGTCCAGGAATACATGCGTGTGTATGGGTGCCCACAGAGGCCAGAAGAGAGTATCAGATCTCCTGGAGCTGGAGTTATAGGTGTTTGTGATGGGGGTGCTGGGAACCGAACTGGGGTCCTTTGGAAGAATAGAAGGAGCTCTTGACCTTTGAGCTATCTCCCAAGACCCAGAATGGAGGCTTCCCCGACTGGGAACTGAACCCAGCCTGAGGTGGTCAGAGTGCCAAATCCTTACCCCTAGACCACCAGGGAGGGGGTGAAATTTCCTACTGTCCGAATTAAGTCAAAGAGTGGATTAGTTTCAATTTGCAATTTAACTGACTCTGAAAGATATTAACACATAATTGATATAAAAATGGTTGTGCTGTTGTATCTTCTTCTGTTCTGTGTTAAATCTTTATAGTCTGATGTGGGTGCTGTACTAGCAGGTCATGGTAGTTTGGGTTAACCAGTGGTTTCAAGTGGACTGCCATCTTGACAACCCAGGTGGAGTTGGTCAACCAGTTGGTCCCTCTTTCGCCTCTTTCTTTTGACTTTGGTAGGGACGTGGCTCTCAGGTTTACCTGCTCCTTCATGACCTTTCTGTTCTCTCTAGCTTCTACCTAGTTTGTGCTTGTCATGGTGTTTTTCCTGGAGACTGAATTTTCATTTTGGTCTAAGTTATTTTCAGTTTTAAAATCGACTGCTCATTTGCCGGTAGCATATTGAAAATGAAAATACCTGTGGTATAACAAAAATTCTCCCATAAAAACATGGAGTAGTGTCATTCAAGATGACATTTATTTCTTTACCAGTAAAACAAGATCTTTCATGTTTTCAAATAATTGGCCTCTAAGTCACGTTTTGTGTAAATGTAAATAACAATTCTGAAGTCATTTCTATTTGATGTGACTTCATCTTCTCATTGCAGAAAATTCTGAACAGTTGACAAGAGCTTTCATTACACTGATAATAACACACTTGTTTTTGTTAGAAAATGATAGGATGAAGATGTTCATTGTTTACCTGAAAGAGTCGATTATTATCAGCAAGAAAGAAGCCAAGACAATAGAAATCCACTTTGATAGGCAACTTGGCATATCAGAAGCTTCCGTTCGAGCTTTGGGAGAAGACAAACAGGTGACAGCTCTCTCTCTCTCTCTCTCTCTCTCTGCGTGTGTGTGTGTGTGTGTGTGTGTGTGTGTGTGTGTGTGTGTGTGTGTGTGTGTGTGTTTGGTTTTTTTGAGACAGGGTTTCTCTATGTTGCCCTGGCTGTCCTGGAACTCAACCTGTAGACCAGACTGGCCTTGAACTCATGGAGATCCACTTGCCTCTCTGCCTCCCAAGTGCTGGGATTAAGGGCCTGTGCTAACATGCCTAGCTTTATTCCCTTTGATTATTTGAAAATGTGTTTTCACACCTCTTCAGCCTCCATGTTGGGCTTTGATGTATCTTTGGTCAAGCATAAGACTTGAGAGTTCCGAGTTCTAATCCCAACTCTCCTGCATTCGCCATGGTCTTAAACATGTAGGACACAGAAGTTCTTCCTGCCTTGAAATGCATTGTTACACCTACTGTGGACGGCGTGTAGCTTGTCTGGGGTATCCTCACATCCTTCCTGAACTCCTGAGGAGAGCTGCCAGGCTTCTTGACCCTTCCTCCTGGCCCCGGGGGGTTGTGGGGGGGGGTTCAGCAGAGGCTTTCCCACTCTGTACTGGTCTTTTCTGATAGAAATGTCCTGCGCCTGCCCTGGGATTCTGCAGTCCCCCTCCTGACCCCACTTTTTCCTGAGTACACATAAGGGTGTTTTTGCATCACAGAAGTGGGGGAGGCGGCGACATTTGTAGCACAAGGACATACAGTAACAGACAAAAGGGACAAATGGAGAGGTCAGGGAGGCAAGAAACAAGATGAGGGAGAGTGTTGGCTGGCTTCCTTTTGTTTTGAGTTATATATTAGAGCATCTTAGAGTGATAAAGTGCTCCACAAGATAGCTCCCCAGGTCCTGCACAAGGGGGGGCGGGGTGAGATTCCCAAGGTCCTGCACAAGGTGGGGGGGGGGGGTGAGGTGAGAGTTCCCAAGGTCCTGCACAAGGGGGGGGGGTGAGGTGAGGGTTCCCAAGGTTCTGCACAAGAGGAATGAGGTGAGAGACAAGGAGTACTAACCACTTAGGAAAAAGTCTCCTCTATAGCGTTCTATGACAAATTGGCCCGGTATTCTGTTTGCCTTTACTTGTGAGGACCATCGAAATCTTGCACATCTCCACATTTCCCAGTGTGAATAAGATGGTTTTGCTGTAGAGAACTGGAGTCTGCATGGGACAGAGCCACAGTTCCCGACTAGGAAGCCCCTGTGAGGAAAGTGGGGATGGGAAGATCAGATGATTGTGTGCTCACTGCAGACTCACACTGAGAGAGAGAGCCACATCCCTGAGGGAAGCATGGATTAGAAGTCACCCCAGAGTTTAGGACAACTTGAACCCAGAACAGAGGGAGGTCTTACAGCACTCCCCCACCCCCCCATGCAGAGGCCTTGAAGCCCTGCCTACAGGCCCAGACCTAGCTCCTAAAGGTCGAACTCTCAGAACTACTGTACTGGGGAGACGGTTTCTAACATGAAAAATTTGAAGAATGCATTCAAGCCATGAGAGAGGACTGATGTGTAAGTCCATGAGAGTGTGACTAAGAACAAAGCAAAATGAGAGCCAGAGATGATCCTGGAAGGCGGTGGTTGAGGGAAGAGGTGGGTGTAGGGAATTGTAAGCCAGAAAGAGTAACATGTAAAAGAAGATGGCAGGTACTAATTACTAAAAATGTACAAAAGAAGATGGCTCCCTAATGTATTCACGTGCTGGGGGCTCAGCTTTAAAACTTATTATTATTTTTTTTTTAAAGGTTACTGCTTTGAAAAGTTATGTGGCCTTGGCTTTCCTTTCAGACTCCTGTTTTGATAAAAGTCTCCCCTGGCCTTGAAAAAGAAGATGGTGAGATTCTTAGCCATGAAAGAAAAACAGGTATGCTTGGAGGTGGCAGAATTCTGATTTGAAATTTCCTGTAGAAGCATGAGGGTGCCTTGGAAGGCATGACCATAGCATCCTATGAAGAGCCAATCCTAGCCTTGAAGCTTCTACTCCATCTGCTAATGTCCTCTTTGGGGACACATCTGGAAATAACCAAGAAGAACAGATGCTGGGGGTGGAGGCAGGTGGGACTCTGCCGGGGCCCTCCCTACTGGCACAAAGCCTCTTCTCTTGAATTTCAATTTCAAGCTTTGGATTTGAGATTTGAGGCATAAGTTCACTACCAGATCTTACCACAAGGTGGCGATATACCAGAGCCATGTTTGCCTGGAGAGTAAGGACCGAGTGCCAGTTTGGCCCATGGAGGTTATTGTTTAAATGTTCTTTTTCTTACTGAATATAGAGCATACAGAAGAATCTACAATCCTGCTAGAGTCCGTGGATGCTGAAGATGACCGTTGCCTAATAACCCGCAGCTTTAATGTTCAGTCACAGCCTGCTGTGAGTAAAGGGAGCTGGGAAAAGAAGGCTGGGAATTTGTGGCCCTCAGGATCTACAAGCACCTCCTCTCTTGAATGCTAGCCCGTTTTCTCTTCAACAGCTGTCTGCCATTAATTTATCTGTCTCCCTCTTCAGATTGCATTCATCCCCGAGCTTATGTATTTAGTATCATATTTGTTCGTTGATTATGGCTCCCCCATGAAATGCCTGCCTTGTACCCTTATTTAGGATCTGGAGAAAAAATGCCTGCAACTTAATGTAGGGAAGGAACCTCATGTTGAGCATCAGAGGTGGTTTCTCTCTCTAGTTGGGGGCATATAGATGTGTTGACTCATACTGCTGTTCCTGGGGCTTGGTATCCACCAATCAAGGTGTCCTAGTTAGGGTTTCTATTGCTGTGATGAGACACCATGACCAAAGCAAATTGGGGAGGAAAGGGTTTGTTTGGCTTATACTTTGACATCACTGCTCATCATAGAAGGAAGTCAGAGCAGGAACTCAAGCAGGACAGGAACCCGGAAGTAGGAGCTGACACAAAGGCCATGGAGGGATGCTGCTTATCTGTTTGCTCATCGTGGCTTGCTCAGCCTGCTTTCTTATAGAATCCAGGACCACCAGCACAGGATGGCACCACCCTCAATGGCCTGGACACTTCCCTATCAATCACTAATTAAGAAAATACCCTACAGGCTTGCCTGTAGCCTGATCTTATGGAGGTGTTTCCCCCATAAGGTTCCCTCCTTCTCAGATGATTCTAGCTTGTGTCAAGTTGACATAAAACTGGCCAGCACAAGAGGTGACATCTAGCTCTTAGGTCTAGCCTTCTTAGGATTTAAAAATAGGCACTAAGTTTTAGATTGGCTGGGGCAAGAAGGGCTGGTGTGCTGTTTCACAGCAGGCTGACTGGGTAATAATGATGCCAGAAGAAAGGATTTGGGGTGGTTTCACTATAAAGAAATGATAAATGTTTGAGGACATATATATGCTTAGCTTGACTCGTCAAGCTTTTCACAATGCAGACAATGGAACAAAATCTTACATAATATTACACACATGTGCAGTTTTATGTGTGAGTTTAAGAATTAATATTACAGAGCACCCTCTTGGCTTATTTAAGCATTTATTCCTCGTTTCCTTATGTGAACACATGGCACGGAGGTGTGACTGATAATGTCAGGATTTTCATGTTTAACAGCTAGAGATTAGTCTTCAGGTAAATTGTCACCTTTACATGTTACTGCTCTGGTGTCTTGGGAAGCTGAACCCTCGCCCCTAGTTCTGAAGCTCCTGGAGACATCCTTGCAGTGCTTCCTGGGGACCTGTAACACACCATGGTCATCTTTGATAGGGGCAAGTCCTTGCTTGTGATTTGGAAATGATAGTTGTGGAACAGCAGAGTCATTGGGAGCCAAGTTGTGTTCAGCTGTTCTTCAGAGGCAGAGCAGGTCCCAAAGGCTGAAGACTGAGGCTTCCCTGATACCATAGTGACTTTTTTTTCTCTTGTAGCAAACACATACAGAAGACCGTTCACCTGAAAAACCCAAACCACCTAACCTTAATCAAGGTACAGAGAGTCTTCTCCACCATCACTGAATGATCTGTTTAAATGTTTGCCCAAGATTCTTACCATCATTTTGTGTTTAACTTTCGGTCCTTAGAAGTTACCTCAAAACACGAGTATCCTTCAGATGTGCAAGAACCATCAATTCAAACTCGGGCTTCTAAAGTAAATGATACAAAGTAAGTGGTTTTCATTTTTCACATATTTACCTTGTTTTTTAATTGTCATAGTAATTGTACACATTGATGCTTTCAAGCCTGTCTGTATCTGTAGTAAGTTGCATGTTTATGGAGACATTGTGATACATCCATATATGTATCAGCATAGTAATTGCCATGTTTATGGGAGATAGGGTGTTTTTTTCATACAAGTACCAATTGTGTAATGATTGATGAACAGTTCTTGGCACATCCATCTTAAACATTCATCATCTCTGTGTAGTGAGAGCATTCGGGAGCCTCTTGTCATTTTGAAATGGAATCTACAGTCTTGTTGACATAGTTACCTCAATGTGATGCCAACATCAGGGTCATTCCTCATGTCTAGCTGTAATTATGGACCAATTGCACCCCATCACACCCTCTCACTTAGATCCTGGTGACCACCATTTTATCTTCCCCTCTATAGGTTGGAGTGTGCCGATCCCACGTGACAGTGAGGTCATGCAGTTCTTGTCTTTGTCTACCTGGTTTATTTCACTTAGCGGAATGTCTTCCAGTGTCACCCATGTTGGGAATTTCAGGATTTTATTCTTGGTGGCTGAACAGTATTCTCATGTATATATGTACCATATTTTCTTTATCTGTTCATCTCTTGGTGAGCATTTAGGCTGATTCCTCGTCTTGGCTATTGTGAAACTACAGAGTCACACAGATGATTGCTCATATGAGCACTACATGGGGGCAGTTCGGAGTTTTCCCTTTTTCCTAACCCAGCCTTTCCCATCTAAACTCCATGTGAAGTTTTCTGTAGAATAATTTAAGTTGTGTTGGCAAAATCTCCTGCCCTGCAGGCCCCTGTTTACATACCTTCAGAGAGTTGTCTTCAGCAACATATTTTTTTCTGCTGAATTTTTAGATTAAACACAAGATCAGCGCACAAAACACGGGCTTTTTCTGATTGAAACACAAAGCAGAACCGTTTGCAGCAGCATTAGGACATGATCGATTTAGGGATTAATTTTTAGGGTACTTAAGACACAACCATAAAAGGACTACTCCAGAACACAGTGAGAGAAAAGAGAAAGATTTAAGTAGATGGAGGGATACTGTGCTCATCAGAGGGACAATTGAATAGCAAGATGTCAGTACTGCTCAAGTTGATGTAAGTATTTATTATAACCCCCAGTTTGAATATTCACAGGCTTAAAAAGAAACTGGTGAGCCATTTGTCACATCCTTGTGGAAACTTAAAGATCCTGGGGTATTGAAACAGGTTTTCAAAAAGGAGCAAAGAGAGAGGGCTTTCGTACTATCTGCTCTCCAAACTTACTAGAAACTTCCTTAACTAAGACAGGGTGATGTTGCCATACAGAGATGGAAATATACGAGCTGGGAGTCAAAGCTTTTGCAGGTATGTGGACTGTTGGGCTATGATGAAAATGCAGAGGTGGTCAGTGGAGAAAGATAGGGTTTTCTATAAACAATGTGAAAATAACAATGTATTTATGCAAGAAAACAAATGACCTTCCTCCAATCTTTTCACTGTATAAAAATTAACTAAAAGTGGGTCAAAGGCTTATATTTAAAACTTATGTGGAACAAATATGTGACTTTGCATGGGGCAGTTTTGAAGATATCAAACAAAAGACAGCCTGTAAAAAACTGAACTGATAAACTAGACTTCGTCAAGATAAAGCAAGCCTTTGTCCTTGTTAAAAATCACTGATAGAAAAGACAAGACCAGCCACGGCCTTATTGAAAATATTTGTAAATATTTGAAAATTTGTTAAAATTTTCAGTGGTAAAGATACAAACCAATGCAAATACAGGCCAAATATTTAAACAAGTTCTGTCCCAAAGAAAAACATGCAGGGCAGCTGAAGAGCATGAGAGCTGCTCCGTGCCACTGGTTATTAGAGGATGTCAGGTGACAGCAAGATGCGTTGTACATCATCAGGATGGCTGCTACCTTAGAAATGCTGTCTGTACTTGCTGACGGAATGGAGAGGGCAGGACCCTCATGCCTGGTGGTCGTTTCAAAGCATCGAATATAAACCTATCCTCTGCTCCATTTGTTCCAATCTTGTGTATGCTCCATTTGTTCCAATCTTGTGTATGCTCCATTTGTTCCAATCTTGTGTATGCTCCATTTGTTCCAATCTTGTATATTTCCCGAGATGTCTGTCAGCCTATGTCCACTAAGGGAATGTGTGCAGATGTTCATGGCAACTTGAACATCAAATAGGAACAATTCAAATGTTCATCAGTGGATGAATGGATGAACATATTTTGGTAAAGATGAGTGTCCCTGATCCAAATACCTGGGCCAAGAAGTTTTGGGGGTTTAGACTTTGGAATATTTGTGTGTATATATAATGAGATATCTTGGGAGTGAGACCCAAATCTAAACATAAACATCATTTGTCCTTTACATGCCTGATGCTGTGGGACAATGTTGACTTTATCTGGTGTTTCAGCACACCTGCAGCTCCCCTGACCTGTCACACAAGGGCAAAGGTGGAGTTGTCTACTTGTACCATCTTGTTTAAACTCAGGATGATTTGGGCTTTGGCATTTGGGGTTTTCAGGTTTGGAATGGTGAACTTGCATATCAGTGTCAGATTTCTCAATTCCTTTGGATATAAACCTAAAAGTGAGATTGGAAAATCATATTGTAGTTCTATTTTTAATTTTTTTCTGTTGCATCATATTATTTCCCATAGAAGCTGCCCACCAACAGTCCACACAAGTCCCATGTACAGCTACTTATGCTAATAGCCTGGATATTTGACAAGAGGTTATTTACTTACTGTTAAGCATAGACAAGGAACTTATGAAACTCAATTAAAAAAAACAGATTAAAGAACAGTTAACATCTCTCCACAGAAGACACGCAAGTGACCAACTGATACTGATACTCAGCATTACCAAACTCCAGGGACAGCTTTTGTTTAAAAGTCTTGAGTGGAACCAGGCTTGGGTTATCCCATTTTTGAGTATCACCTGTGCTGGCAGGCTACCTGCCGATCCCACCCTGCCCCCTCCTCTCATATCTGAGAGATGAAGGACTCCACAAAGGTTTATTCTCTTTGGAATAGCAGTATCCCCTTTCCAGACAGTCTATGGAAGATGTTGTAAGGTACATTTTATCTGCAGAACTGATTATATCGCACAGACAACATCCATGATCAAGAAGCCAGAACTTTCAAGTGAGGAGGAGAGTGAAGGAGGTGGTATCTGCCTGTTAACTTGATGTATTTTATTTTAGGGATGATTCTGCCTTTGAGAGGGATGGAGAACAAGACAGAAGGATGCCGGTAATGTGGGAGTTTCTATTGTTTCGAGGCAGCACTTCCCAAATGTCTGCCATGTGCACGCGTCTTCAAAATTGCCATAACCCTGCTTCTTGTTGTCTATAGTTTTCTCAAATTCACTGGACAAGAAATGATTGCAATTTCAAATGTAAAATCAGTGTTATTTCAAATAGTAGGTAGACTCTCAGACAAAGAATGGTAGAAAATAGCAATACAAATCTACTGGTATGTACAGTTACTTATTTTTCTGGTTTTTTTTTTTGTTGTTGTTCATTATATGCTGTAACTCTTAACTGTGGCAAGGTAAATCTGCAGCCATCTGCCTCATCCAGTTAGATAGATGAATGAGATCAATCAACAAAACTAGAGCTTCATAGTAAATCCTGTTTGATGGTAACTAGATCATGGAAGTTTTAAAACCAAATCCTTTCAGCCAGTCTTTTGTACAGTAGTGCATGTCCACAAACCTTCTCCTTGTCTCATGGGAGATGAGAGATGATAGGTTCTTTCTCTGACTGTGGCCCCAAGAGGCACATTGGGTATAAATGGGCATTTCTATGGTGATGAACATAGAAAGCCAAAGAAATCTATCAAAGGACACATGTGTGGTCCTTCTTCAACCCCCTAACTCTGTTAAATTAAATTGGACCCAGAGCCTAAAATTTGTTCTTGCTTTAAAAAAGAAAAAAAGGCTAGTAAATAGATACACTGTACACCGAGACTTACCTTTAGTGGAATTTGACCTGTTAAAGAACTGAAATGGACCAGATGTGGTGGCTCACACCTGTGATCCCAGCATATGGGAGGCTGAGGCAGGAGGATTTCTATGAGTTCAAGGCCAGCTTGGGCTACAGAGTGAGACTACTTCTCAAAACTAGCAAAGAACAAAGACAAAATGAAATGCTTCTGACTCGGTGTTTACAGACGTGGTTTTCTGTCTTCAGAAGACTAATGGCCATCACCCAGTGAGCCACGGCTAATGACCTCTCACCTGGGAAAGCACAGGACCCCAAGCCTGAAGTCTCAGTGTATTTTTAAAAACCCCAGAAATGAACACTGAAAAGAAAGGCTTTTCTAAACTGAGATCATGAGCTGCCAACACAAGCTGTCAACAAATGTGTCCTGGCTTTTTCTGACTTTCCCCCACAGCCATTCTTACCCTCAGCCCCTGAGACTCAGAAGGTTCCTACCTGGGGTCTGTAGACAATAAGGAAGTCCAGGACTCTGCTTGGGAAATATTGAAAAAGAACACAGCCAAGCATTGGGGATTTAAAAAAAAAAACAGTATTGAGTTTTTGTTTCTGTGACAGACTGAGAAAATCAGCTGTGAGGAGGGAAGTTCTGTCTGGTTCATGGTCGCTGCTCTAGGGTGGGACCTGGGAAAATGGAGCCGATAAATGAGGCAGACTAAAGTCTCATGCAATAGTTAACTTTATTCAAAGCCTGAGACCATTTCTACTCTGAGGGATAAGAAAGGTTATGCAAGTAAAGTTCTCATGAGTTCAAGCTGTATACAATCACAAGGACAAGCCACACATGGCAAAAAACAAAAACAAACAAACAAAAACAACCCCAAAGGATGTTTTTCCATAGAGGCATAGAAAGGATAGTTTAAACATTTAATTAATACAACAGCAAACAATAATGAGTAATATGAAATAAATTCACTCCTATCCGCTACACCTGGGGAAGCTTGGAAACACATTCCAAGAACAATTCTATGCTTTAAAGAAACCGAGGTCACAAGACTCTTGTTTTCTTGGAGTGTTCTCACAAGCAGTGAGAATTGTCCTCACACCACTCCATTCCTGGTCCATGTTTCAACAGTTCATGGTGTCAGAAACTTTGGTCTGTCACTCCTTGGCCTGTTGACTTGGCCTGTGGTGGCGTGGTAAGTCCTGGCAAGGGTGCCCGTGGGAGGAGATGTGCTCACCTCCTGATGGCTTGGAAGCAAGAAGGGGGAATAGCAAGGGTGCCACTGTCCCCTTCAAAGGCACCTGCAGGGAAGTCACTTCCTTAACCAGACTCTGCATCCCAAAAGCTGCATCACTTCAGGCGCCCAGAGAGGGCAGCAAACCTTCAGTGCAGGAGCCCTTGGGGGAATGTTTGGGACCCAAACTGTAGTAATCGCCAACCCCCAATGATTTCTTGTGTGTAAGAACCATTTTTGTAAATCATTTCCACGTTTTTTTAAAATAATTTCCAATACGCTTTGTTGTAAAATCCAAGCTAGGTCAGCCTTGCTGCGTGGCTTTTTAAATTGGATGCTTTAGATGAAGGGTTGCTTGTTCTTTGTGAGCTACTAGGTTGAAAAGCTCTTGATCAAAGCTGAAGGGTGTGTGTGTGTGTGTGTGTGTGTGTGTGTGTGTGTGTGTGTGTGTGTGTGTACACTCGCGTGCTTGTGTAGGGAAGATTGTTTTCCAACTGTCGTTTTTCCTTAAGTAAAGAGTAATACGTAAATAAGACTGGCTGCCAGTTTCTTCCAGGAATTACCTTCTCTGTAATTGTTGTGTCTAGTAGGAGCTGACTTGTAAAAGGAGGTATGGTCTATACGCACATTTGAGACACTTCAGCATTTCAAAAGAGGAAAATCAGGTCATTTTTGAGAACATGGGTAAATACAGAGGACAGATGAAATGAGCCAGGCACAAAAAGAATTTCACTGCATGTGAATCTGAAATAGTTGAATACATAGAAGCAGAGAGGAAAATGATGGTTACTAGGGGTTGGGAGGGGGAGGAGATGGGGGTCTGAGGACACAAAATTTTAGTTAGACAGGAGGTTCAAGAGATACATGGTATATGCAGTGACTATAGGCAATAGTGTTTTACACATGAACAGTACTATGAAAATAGTGTTAAGTTGTTCTCGCTATTAAAATTATGCAGGTGAAGTAACACATGGACTCATTAGATTGATTTAACTATTTCATAAGGTACAGGTACATAAAAATGTTTTTATACAATAAATGTGTGCAATATTTGTCAATTTAAAAGGAAGTGAGAAGTGCTTTTAATGCAAAATGCTGACCTGATAAACATTTTAAAGAAGGATGAATTTGGTTTGTAAAACATGAATTCAGGCTCACCATCACCCACCTTACATGTTATGGTCATGGCATTACAGCCGAGGCTGAGATTGGTCCGATCCTCAGTTAGCGACAGCTGTGAAGCCGATTCACATTTCAGATGGGTCTATGTCTAGCAGCTTGTTGAATCTCTTGTTCACCCTCTAGAACTCTGGTAGCTGCTCTTACATTTCTAACTGATGATAGCCTAGGCTTAATTTCAAGATGCTTTAAGCTTAAACAAATGCTGTTCTTGTTTGCTTTCAGTACTTATAAAACAAAAATGTTTGTTTTGCAAAGACATCCATCTCCCTGCCTTCTTTTGCCTCATTGTGGGTAAAACTTGGGGCTATGTATGTTGGGAAAGCACTTGGCCATGGAGCTCCATCCCAGTCACTGGGAAGAGTGTTTTCTCTTGGTTTTTGTTATGTCGATCTGTGCTTGAAGTGGTGATATTGGTGTAATATTGGCATGCCGCTGCTTTGGGACAGTTACCAATCCCTTTCCAATTCCAAATACCTGACTAGAGAAAATTGTCATCCTTTGCCACAGCACTTCTCATGTAATTGACTCCTGGATGAGCTCCTTTTCTTCCTGCTTAATTCTGTACCTTATTATTGTGGAAGAGACCCTAGTCTTCCAGCAAGAAGTGTTTCTTCCAAGACAAATCAGAGTGAGTGAGAGAGAGAGAGAGAGAAAAAGAGAAAGATATGACGTGTTTTAATTGTAGGTAGATGGTGCATGTGGTGATGTGTTTAATTGTATGCCAGGTGGTGCTAATGCCTGCTTTCGGTGTTCTCAATTGTCATCTGTTTTGGAAAAGTTTAATTATAGGAAACATCACTTCTCTGAGAGTAGTGAAGATTCAAGTTCAAGCACCAGTGAACGACCTTGGACCCAGGATTACAAACGGAAATCCCTACGAACATATTCCCATGGGAGGAAGCTGAGAGTCAGGTCTCTAAGGAGTAAGCTAGTTTGCTTATGTTCTTTTGGGCTACTTCTCAGTTAAGTCAGCGGGTACTTATGCTTCAGTATGTAATGGGGGTGGGATGGCAAGTAAGGTACCAGGGAAATATGTGCTCTTGGGGACGTCCTTCCCTGTAACACTTACAAAGACAGAATGTTTGCTTATGAAACCCAGTGTGGGGTCCGCCTACAGTTGAAATATGAGGTGTGGAAAAACAGTGGGCAACCAGGCAGGAGGAATCTGGCATAAGCTGGAACCATCTTCTGTAAGAAGTGGGTGGGTCTTGAGCTAACTGTTCGGAAACAGGATTTGAAGAACTGAGAAGTGGAGTCATTTGTTCAGTGAAACCAAAGTATGAGGGTGATGGCCATGGCAGGGGTCAAGGTGAATGAGGCTGACTGACTAGAAAAGGCTCCAGACCGCCTCCATTAGCTGAAACTCATAGTGTACCCATGTATGACTGGGGGTGGGTGTGTCTATGTCTCATAAGGAAACATGCCCACTGTGTGCTCACTTTCACTTTTCAGTCCTACCGCTTTCCCCCGTCAGTGGTGGCAGAGCTGGGGAGAAAGATCAGGTAAGAGCACCTCATTGGTTGCCCTGGGTCCTCATGGGTCTAACTGTATCACTTTCTTTAGAACTATGAGAATAACAACTCAGGGGTCTCCTGGTATGTAGTCTAATATAAAGATCGTGGATATCTAAATATTTGGTATGATTCTCAAGTAAATTTAGGGTCTTTTCTGGTCATCCCGAATGCTGCTAAAGGATCTTTATTTAAACATCTTTGTTGTCTTGATTTCCCACAAATGCATGCTCTTGAATTTCCATTTCAAAATGAACATGTTAATGTAATTCTTCTTTACTTTTCAGTTTTCTGAGATGATTTTAAAATCATGTTCAAAGATTTTTAACCACTGCAGCATGTAGCTAGAGTTTTCCTGCCTGGCCCACAGTCAGGACAAATCTCTTTCACCTGCCAGTCCCACAGCTGCTCAACCCTGACCAAGTAAACAGAGACTTATATTGGTTACAAACTATATGGCCGTGGCAGGCTTCTTGCTAACTGTTCTTACAGCTTAAATTAATCCATTTCCATTAATCTATACCTTGCCACGTGGCTCGTGGCTTACCAGCATCTTCACATGCTGTTTCTCATTGTGGCAGCTGGCAGTGTCTCTCTGACTCAGCCTTCCACTTCCCAGCCCTATTCTCCTCCTTGTCCCGCTTACACTTCCTGCCTAGCCAATGGCCAATCAGTGTTTTATTTATTGACTAATCAGCAACACATTTGCCATACAGAACATCCCACAGCAGCAGCATTTGCACCTGAAGGTTGAAACACCTGCAGGTTCATATGAATTTTATCCATAAAGTTATAAAATTCCCAATTTCTCTTCCTTTATCCTTGTTTTATACCAAAGGACTTAGGAATACGGACACTAGTGTCCTGCAAAGGAAGTGGTTCATCTTATTAGCTGATGCCTTCCTTCCCTTAGCAGCGGTTTTTTGTTTCTTGTGAAATCACACACACACACACACACACCCCAAAGTATGCCAGTTTAATAGTTTATTAGTAGTTTAATAAGGAGTAGCTGCTGAGATGCCAAGGATACCTCCCTGCTTTTGCAGAAATACGCCATTAGTACTCCAGCCCAGCTCCACCTGTTTTATTCTTTAAACAAGAAAATAGACTAAACCTATGAGTCAGGATTAGTACACTTGTCCCTTGGTGTCTGGGGTGGCTGGTTCCAGTACCCTGCTTGGATACCAAAATCTGTAGATGATCATGTATTTCCTAAAGTTGTACAGTATTTACTTATGACCTGTGCCTCCCTCCTGTAGACTTGAAGTCACCATTCCCAATGCAATGTAATGCTGTGCACATAGTTGCTGTGCTGTATTATTTAAAGGGTAATAACCAGAAGATGGTCTGTTTATATTTGGTATAGTCATATCATTTTCCAGAATATTTTTGATCCATGGTTTATTGAATTTGTGGATGGGAAAAAAATCTGTGGATATGGACAGCTGTCTTTAATTTTTTGTTGACTAGTTCAGCCTAGAATGAGGAGTTATTAGGTACAAAGGGGCCAAAAGAAGATAATTCAAGTAAAGACAACTTTGGTTTTAATTAAGCTCAAAGAAGCACCACAGACTCACACCTGATAAATTTAAGCTACGAAATGAGCAAAAATTCTATGCTGGTTTTTCTGTGAGGATATCAGGCTGGTCAGATTACAAGGAAGTAATTTGGGACAAAGGTTAGAAAATATTTCCTGTTAAGGGGAACAGAAGATTGTGTTCTTGGAACCATAGATGCACACGACAGAGCTTACCATCTCTGCCTGTCTAGTCAGAAAACTGCCTTAGATTGGAAATGAATGGGCCTACTGTGCACTTATTTACAGGAACTAGTAGCTTGTCAACCCCCACTTAAAGCCAGCAGGGTGACCAGGATGGCTTGGGAGGTGCTGGGCCCTGCCCCAAGCGTCTGATTGAGCGACTTGTAGGTGAGAGTTGAAGATGTGCATTTTTGTTGAATTCCTCTGTTGCTGGTCATCTGACCTGGACCACACCTTTAGGACCACCAGGCTGGAGTTGTCAGTTAAGATTTTACTTCAGTGTTCTTCCAGTTTGAGGATGTTAGAGTTTTCGTGTTTGTTATTGTTTGATGCCGCAAATCCAATACTCAGTCTTCTTAAAGGAAATTGAAAATATCTTGGGAGTTTTTTTATTTTTGTTTTTGAGTGTTATGAACATTAGCATTTAACAAGACTATTTATTATATTTTTAGGCTGAGCTAACACCAGTTTGGAAAGGCATCTCCAGGCAAAATGATACCATTCTTCCAAACTTTTCTGAAACCAAACTACAAAGCAGTTCTGTGCTTTTAACTCCTGAGGCATCTACACAGAAAATAGGTACTTGATTTTCAGTTAGTTTATACTATAAAAAATTGTATTTGGGGATAATTGTCTAAAAGAAACTGATTTTTGACTCTGTAAAATTATCTGAGTGAGTGTTTGCGCGGGGTGTGTGTGTGTGTGTGCGCACGCGCATGTGTGTGACAGTATCCATGTGGCGCTCAGAGGACAGCTTGCAGGAATTGGTTCCCTCCTTCCACGTGGGTTCTGGGGACTGAACTCAAGTCCTCAATCTCATCAGACAGAAAGTGTCTTTATCCGTTAAGCTCTGTCCCCGGCTCAATCTGAACAAGTGATGGTGTGATCATTTTTCTATTTACTGTTTCCATTAGCGGAGGGAGGAAGACACTGTGTTTTAACTTTGCTTTGTTACTTGAGCTTGGCTTGTACATGAGAATCTGGGGCTCCTCTTACAGGCAGGGAAACTCAAATGGTGACCAGCAGAAAGGAGCACTACACCCTTCAGGACTGATAGTAAACAATTTTTCTTTTTGACCCTTCTTGTTTCTGCGTCAACCGTTCAACTCTACAATCACAGAACAAAGGCAGCCACAGATAAGAAGCAGTAATCAAGCTTCCCAATGAGGAAAGGCATGGGACTCGATGGATTCATGAATGAATTGTACCTAATTTAAAGAATTTATTTAAAGAATGCAGAACAGAATTTTGCAAACTCCAAAACCCAAGAAGGAGATAACACTCTGAAATACGTCTCATGAGGCCATTAGCTCTTCAGTTATCCAAGCTAGACAAGGGAATGGGTAGGGGGAGGGAGGAGTTACATATGAATATCCCTAAAGAACAGAGATGCTATACTCTACTACTGTGCTGGCTAGTTTTCACGTCAACTTGACATAGGCTAGGGTCATGTGGGAAGAGGGAACCTCAATTGAGAAAATGCCTCCATCAGATTGTCTGTAGGTAAGTCTGTAGGACATTTTCTTGATTAATGATTGTGAGAGGGCCCAGATCACTGTGGGCAGTATCAACCTTGGCAGGTGGTCCCGAATAGTGTGACAAAGTAGGGTGAACAAACCATGAGGAACAAACCAAGCAGTGTTCCTCCATTGCCCCTTCTTTAGTTCCTGTCTCCAGGTTCCTGCCTAGAGTTTCTGCCCTGATTTTCTTCCTGCCTTGATGTCCTTTGATAATGCACTGTGAAAATCCTGGTTAAAGCCCCTTCCCCCTCCAAGTTGCTTTTGGTCATAGTGTTGTATTACAGCAATAGAAACACTAAGACAACTAGTAAACTGACTTTGGCAGCACATTAAAAGCATCGTGCACCATTATCAAGTGGGATTTTCCCCTGGAATGCAAGGATGGTTCAACTCATGAAAATTGATAATGACATTCATCACAATAACAAAATGAGGAATAAAAGTCATAATTTCAATAGACTCAGAAGAATATTGGAGAAAGTCTACATTCTCATGATAAAAACACTCAAAAATTAAATATATATAGAATATACCTCAGCATATCAAAGGCTATGCATTAAAAGCTTACATCTCATGCCCATATTAAAGGGTGAAAAGATTTTATCAAAGACTTAGAAGAAGTTGGCAAGGTGTCCACTCCACCATTCAATTCAGTGCAGTCCTAGAAGCCCTCATCAGAGCAATCAACGAGACAGAAATAAGAGGAATGACTGAAGATCTCATTTGATAAAAAGATAAGTCCCAAAAATGTTACCCAAAACTGTTAAAACTAATGAACCAGTTCATTAAAACTAGACAAATCCAAACCAATATATAAAAGTTAATTGTGTTAATTGATTCAAGCTGTCTGAACAAAGTAGCTCAGAGCAGAACCCAGCTCCTCCACAGAGAAGACAGAAAGTGACAGGTACCCTGCACTATGGGAGGTGAGCGCCATGGCAGAGGGAAAAGAGTGCCCCTGGCCTAGGAGATCTGGGTGTTTGCCCTCTAGGAGAGAGGGTGTCACCAGATGTATATGGGCTTGTGCCAAGGCAGTAAAATGGTTCTCCCTCAACCTGCGCTGAGCCCAGGCACCTGCTGCTGGCAGGGTATGGAGAAACACCCAGATTCCCTTGCTGCCATCTCTACAGTAACTTGAGGAGTCTTGAGTAACTCCCTTGATTCCAGCTAAAAACCCTGTGCCTGGATGGATATGCATAAAGGGCCTTCCAAAGGAGCTTTGCCCAGCTCTGGCTACAGTCTCGCCACTGGGCATGCAGTCTCAAGGAAGGAATAACGCCAATGTTTCTGCTACTTATTCCTATCAACACAGATCCTGCTGCCACCATCATCAACCACACACTGCTGCCGGACCTAGTGTGAGTGCCAGAGGGAGAGCCCTGCATGCAGTTTATGCTGTCACCTGTCTCCATGTGTCACCTCAACCCACACCACTGACTGTTAGTGACGTACCTCTCATGGTTTTTATTTAATGGACCATCTTCATTTTAAGCATTTCTGTTTTTCAAAGTTTCAATCTCTGTGCTAAATTTTCTTCTATTTTGGATTTTGATCTCCAACTCATTAACTGTTAGAATCACTTTGGAGACTGTCAAGGTCTTGGATTGGATAGATTTCCTTCATCCGAATGACTCTTCTACACGATCATTCTTTTAAAAAAGTGTAAACCTCTGAATTCTTTCTCAGACATGCCAGCTGTTTCAGTAGTTTTGGACTCCCATATAGGTTTCTCGAGTGTGGATGACTTATGGGAGGTGGTTATGTCATATTCTTAACAGACTTTTGAAGGAACACTAACTTATCAGTTAGGAGAAAAGATTTAAATGCATTGAAATAAATGAAAGTAGAAATTCAAATATAGTGAAACTTGGGAAATGCAGCAAAAGTGTGGGGCCCGCAGAAATGGCTCAGCAGTTAAAAACACACTTGCTCTTCTTGCCTAGGACCCAGGTTCGTTTCCAGCATCCACATGGTGGCTCACAGCCATCCTTAATTTTAATTTCAGGGCATTTGGCGCCCTCTTCTGGCCTCTGTGGGAATCAGGCATGTACACAGTGCACACACATACATGCCCTCAGCGCACGCACGTGTGTACACACACACACACACACACACACACACACACACACACACACACACACACACACCTTTTTAAAAAGGAGTGAACCTATAGCAATTAGTGTCTGTTTTTTAAAAAAATATTTAAAATAGTCTAAATGTATCTCAAAGAATGTAAAAACCCAAACTCACAATGGACAGATAGTGAAAAAATTAATAAAAATTAGAGCAGAGATCATCAAAATTGGAATAAAAAAGTAAGTCAGTGAAAGTTATACTCTAAAAAGATAAAACAGTTGGCTACACTATCATCAGCAGCAGGTGACTCACATGCAATTGGTAATGATGAGGACATTGTAACAATACTACAGAAATACAGATTATTACAGATAATTATAAAAAACTATACCAACAAATTAGAGGCTTAAAAGAAATAGAAAAACCTCTGGACACACATTCTGCCAAAACTGATCCATGAGGACATAAAATACCCTAACAAGCAATGAGATGGAGCAGTAATAAAATTTCCCTTCAAATGAAAACCCAGGAACTGGATACCTATAGTGCTAAATTTTTACCAAAATTTTTAAAGAATAATGAAAATCCTCCAACTATTCCATAAAGCTAAACATAGAAAACATTATTTCTAAATCCTTAAAAATATGTGTGCACGCATGCATGTGTGTGTGTGCCAGAGATTGACATCAGGTGTGTTTCTCAATTGTTCTTTATCTTAATTTGTGTGCATGCATGCAGACCAGAGGAGGACTCTCTGGTGCCAGACCTTGTCTTCTCACTCTTTTGACGTAGGGTTTCTTGACTGCTGCAGACATTGGGCTAGCTGGCCCCTGAGGTTCTGAGAGTCTACTGCATATGTGTGTCTGTCTCCTATCTTCCCATGGGCACGATGAGGTGACAGATGTTTGTGCTGCTACTACATCTGCCTTTTATGTGGTGTCTAGGAATCCAGACTTGAGTCTCCAGGCTTGCGAGACAAGCACTTTACCTCACCGAACCACCACCATGACCTTCCTGTCATTGGTGATAGCATTGCCCTGTTACCAAAACGTGACAAGGACACAACAAACCACAGCACGAATCCCTGATGATTATATATGAATTCGTGACAACACACTAGCAAGTCAAGTTAATTCAATATATCAAGATCTTTCACCATTATAGAGTTAATTTCATGGCCAAACATTAGGCAGAACTTGGATAATCCTGCAGAAGAGGAAGAGGAAGGACTGTGGGAGTCAGAGGGGTCAAGGACTGTGGGAGCCCGTTTTCAAGTACCTTGTGGCTTTATCCAGCAGGTCCACATAGAGAGGATGATTAGGACCACGGGCCTGAGTGCAGGTGTCTGAGATGGTCTGCACTTGGCTGTGCTGGGGGGAGGTCTTTTGCTCCACCCCTTGGCATCTCTATAAATACCCTGGGGCAGAGAGAGTCGGGGCTCGTTGGAATAGGTTCCAGGCCCTCTTGAGGCTATCCTTTATTTTCTATCTGTTTATCTCCACAATCTAATCTAATCCTTCTATCTAATATTTCCTGCTGCTTGCACTCATGAAAACTCTGGGAAACTATCGGGTTGGTGGGTAAATACCCCTGCAAAGGACATCACAAGAAAACTCACAGCGTCAACTAACCTGGGCTCATGGGGCTCCCAGAAACTGAACCGACAATCAGGGAGCCTGCATGGGTCTGACCTCTGCACGTATTATGGTTGTGTACCTTGGTCTTCTTGTGGAACTCCTAACAGTGGGAGTTGAGACTGTTTCTGTCTCTTTTGACTGTTTTGGACCCTTTTCCTCCCACTGGGTTGCCTTATCCAGCCTTGATATGAGGGATGTGCCTAGTCTTATTGCAACTTGATATGTCATGTTCGGTTGATATCCCTGGGAGGCCTGCCCTTTTCTGATGGGAAATAGAAGAGTGGATGGGCGGTGGGGTGTTGGAGGGAGAAGGAAACTGCAGTCAGGATGTAATATATGAGAGAAG